GATATATTTAATATACTTTGGAATAAGGTGTATTGATACTAACCACGCTTCACTGTCAAATAAATTTCTTTCTAATCTTATAGAACTGTGAACAAATTGTAGAAAAAATTTTCGTTTCATATCCTTCAAATAATCACATGTGTAACTTTAGTGTCATGAATGAATGATGATAAAAAACTATTGAAAAATGTCCCTCCAAACTTAGTTCAGACTTCATTAACTATGAACATAAATATTTTAGATTATAGACTGTATAGTCGTAACAAGTTTATTCCATCCTCCTATTCGCAATTCAATTAATTGATGATGAATAACAACATCCGTATCCAAAACGTTTTCATTTCATAAAAATTTAATCAAGTTAAACAGGTATAACATATTTGTAAAATCTCAGCGAATGAATTTGTAGTAAATCCAATGTTTCGCCTGGCAATCTGGTCCAAGCTTTTTCAAGGAATTATAATCAAACATCAAAATTATCGAATATAAATAGGTACATGGGTCTTCGTTTAATTGTACACTGAATCAATCAAAGTTAAAAATGTCTAATCAAGTTCTTTTAATACTCCATTTTTAATTCAGTTTTTGCTCACATTCATTCTATTTGAACCGGTTATTTCATGTGACTTAAACAAAACGGAACACATGCCTTGGATTCCACTGATAGTTAAGATTCAGCTATATTTAAACTAATAATTTAAGATTTCTTCCAAACAAACTTTTCTCTAAAAATTTATTAAATTTCCCTCCGTTCCTGTCTAAATTTTAGTATTGACGACTTTTTTTATCATCAATAGAGCAACATAATTCTGTTGCTAACCTTATTTTATCAAGTGAGTTCAAAATTTAGTGACGAATTCAATTCTATTGATTGTTCAACGATGACCAGTAGTGTCGCTGTCAGATCTGTGCAGAACCATTTGTTACGCATTCCGGCCTGTTGATCTCGAATTTGGGTGTCTACTGCGTCTTTCATCCGGTTCAGAAACACTCTGTCCAAAACTTTTTCTGGTACTGACAATAGTGTGATGCCTCTGTGGTTCTCACATTTGTTTAGATCTCCTTCCTTTGGTATCTTGATGAGGTGTCCTTCTTTCCAGTCCATTGGCACTTGTTTCTCTTCCCAAATCTTAATGAATAAAACGTGTAGCATGTTTGCAGTCGCTCCTATGTGTGACTTCAGTGATTCAGCTGATATATTGTCAGATTCTGCTGCTTTTCCTCTCTTGATCCGCTCTGATGGCCATCTTCACTTCTTCGATCGTCAATGGAGTGACATCTATAGGAAGGTCTATGTGTGTTGCTTCGATTTCCGGTGGATTCAGTGGAGCTGGTCTATTCAACAGTTCCTAAAGGTATTCCACTCATCTTTTCCTCTGTTCTTGGATCTGAGTGATTGACTTGCTCTCTTGGTCTTTGACTATTCTCTCTGGTTTACTGTATTTCCCTGATGGTTTCTTCGTCGTGTCATATAGTTGTTTTATATTTCCTTATCTTTAAGCTTTTTCCACGTATTTCTGCTTATCAGCGCTAATGCTCCTCTTCACTTGCTTGTTTGTTCCTGTATATTTAGCTAGTGTCTTGACTTTATTGGCTGTTGTTAATTACTCTCTTATTTTTCCTCCTTTCTTGAATCTTGTATAGGGCTTCCATAAATATCCATCCCTTATGATGCTTCTTGAAGCTCAGCACTTCCTGGCACGTTGAAGTTAGTGCTTCTTTTAGCCCTTTTACGGGTGTCCTCATAGTGGTTTCCTCTTCTTCCAGTAGATCTTGTAAGGGTTGGAACATACTTCTTAGAACTATTTTAAATTCGTTGAGTTTGTTAGTATCTTTAAGGAAGGCTACATTGAACCTTCCATTGATCTTGTGAATTTTTCGGTGATGCAAATATGATCGATCTGGTTCTCCGTATTGTGGTCAGGTGAGACGCATGTAGCTTTAAGTATGAATTTGTGGGTGAAAATTGTACCACGTATAACCGATTTGTTGAATGCACATAGGCTTGCAAATCTGTCACCATTCTCGTCCTTTTCTCCAAGTCAGTTTATATCGTCCCATGATATCTTCATATCCATTGTCGTCCATTCCGACCTTGGCGTTTAGGCATCCGATCAGGATGGTCAGATCTTTTCTTGGGCACTTCCCTATGATTGATTGCAGCTTCTCATTGAACTGATCTTTATTGTCGTGGTTGCTTACATTGGTGGGTGTATAATAGTCATAGGGATTCCCTTCTTCTTAGTTCTGAAGGATGTTTTGTTGATCGTGGATCCGTGAGATTCCCATCATATAAGTGCATTATGGGCTTCTTTGGAGAGCATTAGAGCAACTCTCTGAGTGTGTGTGGCACTTTCGTCTTCGTTAACGGAGTACAGCAGCATCTCTCCAGTATCTAGCCTTTGCTGTCCAGCTTATGTCCTATGGATTTCGCTGATCACGAGTACTGCCAAGTTGTATCTCCTCATTTCCGTTGTTATTTGACTGGTCCTCCCGATCTCCCGTATTGTCCGGACGTTCTATTTACCTATAAAGATTGTTGCTCTGGTTGTTAGAAGGTGCATTGGCCTCGTGAATTCCGAAGAATCTCGGGTTTCGTCATGAAGCATCATAATTCTCCATTTAATTTACACGGCACTGTTTAATGTCGTCGTTTCTTTGGCGAGATTTCTTTCTACGGGATGTAGTTTCCGACCTCATGCCTACACACATTCTTTTACCCGGCCTTGGGACCGCCATTAATTCTAGAAGGGCTACAGGCGGAGTTCCTTGTTATTATTATCATTTTATTAGTTTTTATTTTATTATGTGGACTTTGCCAATCTAAGTTTTATTTTGTGTTCACTAAGATCATACCATCGTTCATCAGTTTTTCATTCAATTGATTCTTAAAACTTATTTAAACTCCCGCAATACCTCATTTCATTTCCAATTTGGCTGATTTCAATTAATTTTCCCTTAATTAAATTTATGTATATAGTCAACCCATTCTTAATTAATTTAATTTAAATAACAATAAGAAAGAATGTTGATGAAGATCATTTATGTGATCTATTGTCTGAGCTTTATTTACTTCTTAATTAAATGAACATATTGGTCGGTATCCAACATATTACGACGGTTTTTAGGATTTGGATTTAAAAAATGAAATAATTTTTTAGATCATATCATGAATTCACTTTATCTAGACAATCGTTGAATAGCGGTTTTAACTTATTACGAAAGTCATCAGTAATCCCTATAAACTAGCAGGGGAGGTATAACTAGGACCTACAAACTTCATAAGAAGTCCGTCCAGTTTCGACCACTAATTTGCGATTGAACGGCTGACATTTCTAAATTTAATGAATTAGCTCTGTTGTACAACTCTTAACAGGTGGAACGTCAATCTAATCCTCGACATATGAAAATCATTTCAGATTTCAAGACTACTGAAAATTATTGTGATTACACGATGAGTCCACGAATTAAACATAAGGGGAACTTTGCAATTTGTTGTTAATAATATAGATATATTTTGATTCTTTATCATAAATATGGATGATTTTAACCATTACTACTATGAATTAAAATAATAGATTTGTCAACATTAGTTAAAATGTTTCGTCACACACAATTTCCAAGATAATCCACCATACTCTAATTAATGTTTCATATGAGGTTAGAATTTGTCCTTAGGAATGCTCAAGCTATAGACATGTCCTGTGTTTTTTTTCTAAGAGAAATGGGATATGAACAATCAATCAATTTGATTTCTGAAACATTCAAACTCACAATACCCTTTAGTTTCATGCAATTTTCTGTCAAGTCTAAACCTTACTGATTTAGATTACCGCTCTACAAATGTTTTGAGGCTGTTTTACAGCATATCAGTTTTGACGAAGTTCTTACCATTAAATGTCAGTTATCATTGTACTCTTACTAATATTAACACCATGGATATATAAATCGATGCTCAATATATGTGTGAAAATGAGAAAATACTCTCTTCATTGTAAATTCTGAGAAATATCTAATTGTAAATATACTGTTTAGTAGTGAGAATTTGTTTTCTGTGTGACGAACTAAGATATCAATTTAGACTTCGTTTACTTACTGTTATTCAGTAGTTTGTAATAAATAAATAAATTATTTACGTCATTTGCGTATACCCGTATAGTTACCACAACACATAATTATCACCCCAAAACTGACCAGCAATATATTCAAAGTGAAATTGTTTTCCTTTAGACTAGGATTCTATAGATGGATAACTGAATTTTCGTCACTTAAATTTTTCGGTTCTCAAGCATTTTTTTGTCAAGCCTGAAAATCACCTGAATATTTGCGATAACCTGCTTATGAAATACCAGTATGAATAATATTCAGTCGGCCATGGTCTGTGAAACCAAATGAGTAGTGTGAAGTGAATACCAACCGACAGAATATCGATTGATGGTCATCAGACATGGCAAATTGAGTGGAACCTCATATATTAGTTCCATTCATTAATATTTATAAAGCCAGATTAATAATTGAAGCAAAATATTGTTTTCATCTGGATTTGTAGTTACTCCTCAGCTCTTTACAATTATATCTGTCTTCAGACATAATATTAACACTGGTAACTGAACAAGTTGGAATATATATATATATATATATATATATGCGTAGAGTCATTTGAAGTGGGATATTAAGAGCATAACAGGGGGTTATTTGAAGAGTTGCAATTATAACCCAATCCATCTTATCAATTTCAGATTCTAGACAACTATTGTCGCCTCCTTTATTCTCTTAACATCTCTTTTTTTAATGATTTTACTCATACTTTTTTTTATATATATTTATTTATACGCATATAATACAAGATATCCTCATCATTCCAAATTGTTTAGTTACCAGTGTTCAACTATTTATTATTATGTTATGTTTGAAAACAGATATGATTGTAAGCAGCTGAGGAGAAATTACATATTAAGATGAATTCATAATATTTTACTACAATTATTGTTCTATCTTTAATTCAATTAAGCAAAGCTTGAAAATGTATATTATAGAATAAATTAAACTCCCCCTGTAGCTCTTCTAGAGTTATTGCCGGTCCCAAGACCGTGTAAACGGAGGAAGGTAGGCCATGGAGTCGGCAATCCCACTCCGTAGAAAAAAAAATCATGCTAAAAAGATGCTAACCAGAACAAATATGGGGCTAATTAATTTATACATAAACGCAATAAAAAGTCCTCCATCCTCTTGTACATTACCCCTTCTCAAATTAAACAATGTAAAGTTATGATACTTCATATCGTACATATTTTGATTCTAAAAATAAACTAATCCTCTTTCTAGATAAATAATCAAGCCGAACAAGTAAGCAGAAAATATTCTTCTTTAAAATTATTACCTTCGAAATCAGAATTGAACAAATAATTGTGTATCACAAACAAACAAAAACACATGACAGGCATTAATGATATTACAAAGTTCATTTTGTATTACATAAATACATAAAGGTTAGTAACGGTACATGATTAAATACCAACATGAACATTTTTAACCAAATTAATCAACACTCCATTAAAATATTTGCACTTTAACCTTAAATGCATTCAATTTGTGCGTTTGTGTGTGTGTGTTTGCACGCGCAAATTATTATCTCTAATGATACAATTAAAATAATCGTTAATGTAGTGAATTTCTTTTTGTAGGAGCGTTAACAACACTTCCCCAGGATTAATGAACGACAGAGAGAATCTAAACAGTAGATTATCATTACTAAATGATGAATACAATAAGTGAGATACAATTATTCTTGGAAATAATAGTAATAAAATATTTTGCATGAAATGGTGCTAATGTTAGTGCTCTTAATTAATTAATAATAAACCAAAATAAGCATATCAGAAAAAGAAAGTAGATGTAGATAATATGTGGATGAAAAATTAACTTCCACGTTATAATATCTATTAGTAAAAAGTGTAGATAATTATGTGACTGTTAGAATGTGTCATAATTGTTTAATTCATAACAAACCATGAACAAATATATTTAGAGAGAATAATACAAATTAAGATAAGAGAACTTGCATTAAAAAGAAAAGATAGAAGTGTTACTAGAAGATAATTAGTATCAATAGTCATTGTGTATAATATTATAACAAGAATAATCATTTCTTTAAATGATCAATTCGACTAGAATCTGTTGAAGTATGAGTCTTTTTTGGAGAAAGCATTACTGTATTACTACCAGGTGAAACAGATCCACTAGTTCGACTTGCTAACACAGAATTTAACAACAAACGTAATTCTTGTGTTAAAGTTTCAAAACGATAAGCAACGCGAATGTTGGGTAGATTACTTCGAGTTATATCATTACCCATAACACCTTCTTGTGTATAATTAGGTCCAAGCCAATGAGATTTAATCTGTAACAGAACAACAACAAATAAGGAGATAAAATAATTAAACTGTTAGTCAGTCATTCGTAAACTAAGTAGTATATGGAACATATGGGCATCAGTGCAAGCTCCTACGCTATATCAGCAGAGGTAGGTGAAATTATCAAGAAGAATATCAAAGTAATAGGACGTGTAACAGTATCCGTGTTAGTAGAAGACAATAAGGATAGACATTATGATTGGAGAAAGTATGAATTAGAAAAGTAAGAATGTATAACATAGAGATTGCACTCATCTGTGACATTGCGGCCGAATTTCAGCTATGACTCAATGTTTCCTCCAATCAATGGTTACGATAATCACCTAAACCCCGACCAGGTGTTTTAACCTATCTACATAGCTCAACCATGTTGTACACGAAAAAGATAAAATTAGGGGTAACTTCTAGGAACTATTTTTGGACTGTCATATATATATATATATATATATACTTATTGTATAACTATTAAGTTACTAGATTATATACATTAATATTTCTCATATCATAAGCTTTTATTTGACCTATTGGCTATTATTATACGGTCTACTATTCTCAAGTTATTCCCAATCTATGAAATACAGTCCCTCACACAGCTACTTTTGGCCTGATCTTGTATAATAACTATTTTTTATTTTATGGAGCGATGCGGTCTGGTCCGCTTGGATATAAACCAAGTACGTCTGAAATATATGATTCATATATATAACTATTTAGTAACCTAGACTAACATAGAATCAAACAGTCAGCTACAACGTAGGACCAGGCACATATATGCATCGGTCCAAGTTGCCATACATCGTTAGCACAACAAGATGAACCCTGGATTCATAGAAAATCTGGTCACCAGAAGAGTATTTTTCTACCAGCTAAAAAACGGAGTTATTTTTTGAGAACCAAGAAAAGAAAGTCTACATGTAACTTCAGCTCTTAAATGTAAAATAAGATGTTTTCAAAATATAGATATTCAACATTACATAAATTAAACAAGATGAACACATTACTACAATATAGTTCATTTTAAAAGGTATCAAAAAATGTTGAAATGTTTACCTTTCTAAATAAATGATTACCCAATATTGTGCTCCAAATAAGACTTAATGACAAAATGTACCTATATACTCTATTTTATGAGTATACCATTAAAAAATGTACAATATCTCTTAACTTTCATGAAAGAAAGCATAAAAGTGGAACCATACGGTGAAAAAAACTTTTGAATTAGATTTCTCTGCAGTTAATATTCAGATAAAGAAATGTGTAATCTTACACAAATAATAATTATTATTATCATAATAACTTACCAGAGGAGAGAAACCACTCATCAAAACACTATTACGTGCTAATTCACACATATCAGTAGATGTGAATTTCCATACTTGAGCAGCTATACTGTATTCTTCAATCAATGGTTCTTTAGTAAAATGAAATTGTAAAGGATCATCAGTACTAAGACTGACGAACAGACCGCGTGCTAAAAAGTCATTCAACGGATTACGGTGATAATCCAAAAACAAAGAATTATTACTCAAAGGTGACATAGCTATTCCGATCTGTTATTGAAGATTTGAGGCATTGTAGAAAAAAGGAATAGACAAAAAACACATGAATAGGTACACTAATTAACAAAATTATTATAGAATTTTAAAATGTAATTAACTTCAGATAAATAAAACGAACATTTACACTGCATCAGTGTCGGGATGCTTTGATAGGTTATTTTACGAAAAAATCTTTACGAAAATCTAGATCGACTTTCATACTTATTTTAATTTTCACGGATAACTACATGAAAGAATTTCAAGGAAATCAAATGAAGACAAATCATCCATAGAAAACAGGTAATCACTGAACTATTTTCCTGAGTTAGCATTAGCCGATTATGTAATTGAGATCATAGACTGATCAATATTAGACCACCATTGAAAACCTGGAAGCACTTAACCGACGTCTCGACCTAGCATAAGATTTCTCAGCAGTGAGCAACCACGACCCCACACGTAAGGCTCGAACCCAGGACCTTAGGTCGTGGATCGTAGATGTACACTGCCGAAGAGTCCCGTACTACAAAAAATCGGTCGTCAAGTGCTTCTAGGTCTTCAACGATGGTGCAAAATCGATAGGTTCATGACCTCAATAAAAACTCGAAAATCTCTACAACTCTATACTGATAATCATGTAATCGATTATTATGTCATTAACTAGCAAAATGTATAAATTACATTTCTTTAAAATAAACATTTCAAGTTAGAGCATTATATAATTTTAGAACTGACAGTTTTTGATCTGGCTAACAAAAATAAACATCTAGCTTGGTATTGATTATCTGTTATTTGGTGAACAGCTTCTTTACCTCCAGCTTGATGAACTCGACTATTAATGACTTGGCGAATAATAGTAATTAGTAAGTCTCAGTATAAGAAAGTTATGCAAATATGAAACTTGTTTTTTTATCGGCTGAGCGAGTATACTACAATCACAAGTGACAATCTTAAAACAGTTTCATTAGTTTCTAGAACCTCGAAATTGGTAAATAACTACATACTTATAAGACGCACTGTAAACATAAAATACATGATCTACTAAATAACATCATTTATAACAAACAAATAAATGCATGTCGAAAAAAAACAGTACTAAACATTTTACCTGAGCAATATAGTAAAGATATTGTAGAACAGGAGCTTTACGTAACAACAAACCATGATTGATACTTTCAGCCAACAGGAAACACGTAACTAAGTGATTAATATTACCTGCTTCACCTGAGTGAGGTCTAAATGAGAATGTATTTAAACCTCGATGACTGAAAAGGAATTGCAAACGCGTAACAACAAGAGAAGCATAAGAACATGATGAAATTAATATACTCTGCTTATAAAATGGAAAAAGTAACATTACGAACTAGTTGTATTAAAATGGAGAATATTATTATTAGACGACTATGAAACAAAGTCAGCCTAAACAACTACTTGATTTTTGCACTTCTGACTGATGCTTTGAATAGGCACTGATTGAATTCCAAGGAACAATAATTAACCAAGGATTAGATTTATAAAAAAAACCAAAACAGAAAGACTATAGGAACAATAACACAACCTTTTAGATACATATGATCACACCTATTACCACAGGTTGTTTTGGAAAATTGCAGGATAATTTTCCTTTTGAAGTAAACAAAAGTATAAGTGATATCATCATTTGAGGTGATAATGATAATCCTACTCCGACAAAACAACACCAGTAAAAAGTATGTACAGTAAATGAATTCTATTTTCACGCCAAAAGAAAATTGTTTACAACTATTGTTTTCATACATATATCATATACGCACAGAGTTAAATTTAACACCCAAATTAATAAACGCGCAAATTCTATGTCAAGTTTCACATATAAAATAATCCTAGAACAACATTTTATCACACGCAGTAAACAAACAGCAAGACAAATTTAAAGTACACTTTTAAACTATTGAATGATTAACAGTAGAAAATGGGTATTCAGAAAAAATGTAAGTATTACCTCGATTTAACATTTTGATGTTAGAAATCAATACATAATTCGTATTCAAACAGTCGATCCTAGACCATGATGAAAAATAACCTCAGATTGAATGATTACCACAAATTCTTTGCATAAACGATTACAATATACCTATTACCGATTATTTACAAGACGGATTCCTGAAGTCCATTTAGAAAGCTTTCTTCCGTGAAGTATGAATATGTTAACAGTGAGACAGTTATCAAAGATTACATTGGATGATCATCGAACCACATCGTGAATCAAGTAATTTGATTCAATAGTTAATCCAGCGAAACCTGTAAGTCTTTAGATTCGTACCCGAGTAGGAGATCACATATCTGTGTATCAACAATTGGTCTTAAAATTAAGACTTTTTGTATTATTTTTTCCCAGTAAACTGTTACTAGTTGATCGTAAAATTTTCTTTTAAATGTTCACATTATTAGGCATAGAACTATTCATATTATTCTAATAAGTTTATTCCTCTTACTTTATACACATTTATCAGTAGGAAAAACTGTATAAATGAGAAATTTAGAAATAAATATATCAAAAATATAACATGAATCTTATTATCTTATATTTAAAACACAATTATGTGAAGAACGAAGAATAGTCTTTTTAATAATTTCTCATCAGGTTTTACAACTATAAATCCAAATTAATAATCCATAAAAAAATTGGCCAAGTTTAAGGCAGAGTACATCATTTAAAAAACTGTAACTTGTGAATCAGGCCAAGGACAGAGTGGGTTGGAGAATGCTGGTCGGCAGCCTATGCTCCATTGGGAGTAACAGACGTAAGTAAGTAAGTAAGTAAGTAAGCATGTGAATCAAGGAGTGTTTGCGATATAAACTAAAATCGAATCGTTAATGTTGGGATGACTAATATGTAGTGTTAACTTGAATCAGTTTATAAGTGAAATAAAATCGTAAGATAAATGATCAAAATAAACATAGTTGAAATCATGAGTCAATTGAAGCTAGACCACCATGGAAAACCTGGAAGCACTAGACGGCCGTTTCATCCTATTATGGTCTAGCTTCAATTGACTCATGATTTCAACTGTGAAAATACTAAATTCTCCATAAACCCCCCTCTGATCTATAAATATAGTTGACATAGAAGGAGATAGAACAATGGGATTACAAATCAGAAATTACGTAATATGTAGAATAATATGAATTAGGTCAGATATAGTAAATAGGGGTGGATGCTGAATAAATTCCTCTAAAAGGTTAGCAAGTGTAATAATAATAATAATAGTGACTGGTAAGATGTGTAGATAAAATAAGTTTAGGATATAAAAATGAACATTAATCAAATTAATGTCACCATATTATAAAATTGATTATTAACAAGTTGACCCTGAAGTTGGCCAGGGTAAAAGGAGAGACTGGACATATTTCTTTTGGATGCAAAGCTCCGGCTTTCTGATCCGAACAGCAATTGCCTCAGCCGTTCGCAGGATTCTCAGTCTGACGGAATTAGGTAGACTGCTGTTAACACGATATATTATTATGAAAGATTGCTCCATGTTGGCTCTATGTCCCGTCTGAACTTACTTACTTACTTACTTACTTACGCCTGTTACCCCTCGTCGAGGAGCATAGGCCGCTCACCAGCATTCTCCAGCCAACTCTGTCCTGAGCCTTCCTTTCCAGTTCTTTCCAGTTGCTATTCAGCCTTTTCATATCGGCTTCTATTTCCCGGCGTAGTGAGTTCTTTGGCCTTCCTCTTTTCCGCTTCCCTTTAGCATTCCAAGTTAAGGATTGCCCTGTAATGCACATTGGTGATTTCCTTAATGTATGTCCGATTCAATTCCATCGTCTTTTCCTAATTTCCTCTTCAGATGGAAGCTGGTTTGTCCTCTCCCATAAAACGCTGTTGCTGATAGTATCCGGCCAGTGGATGTTGAGTATTTTGCGTAGACAACTGTTTATAAATACTTGTACCTTCCTGATGATGGCCGTAGCAGTTCTCCACGTTTCAGCTCCATACAGTAGGACTGTCTTGACGTTCGTATTGAAGATTCTGACCTTGAAATTAGTTGAGAGTTGTTTTGAGTTCCATATGTTCTTCAATTGTAGAAATGTTGCCCTTGCTTTGCCAATCCTAGCCTTTACATCTGCATCCGATCCTCCTTGTTTATCAATGATGCTCCCCAGGTACTTGAATGTTTCCACCTCTTCCAGAGTTTCGCCGTCAAGTATGATTGGGTTGGTGTTCTCCGTGTTGCATTTGAGAATCTTGGTTTTTTCCTTTGTGAATGTGGAGGCCTATCGATGCGGAGGCTGCTGCTACATTTACTGTCTTCATCTGCATTTGGTCGTGTGTATGAGAGAGGAGGGCTAGGTCATCTGCGAAGTCCAAACCATCTAATTGATACTGAGAAGTCCATTGTATTCCGTATTTCCCGCCAGATGTCGAATTCTTCATAATCCAGTCAATCACCAGAAGAAAGAGGAATGGGGAGAGTAGACAGCCTTGTCTGACTTCGGTCCTTACTGGAAATGCATCTGTCAGCTGTCCTCCATGCACCACTTTGCACTGTAGTCCATCGTATGAGTTTTGGATAATGTTGACAATCTTTTCAGGAACTCCCTAGTGTCGAAGAAGTTCCCATAATGTTCTCCTGTCCACGCTGTCAAACGCCTTCTCATAGTCGATGAAGTTGACGTATAGTGATGAGTTCCACTCAACTGATTGTTCAACGATGATCCGTAGTGTCGCAATCTGGTCTGTGCACGACCTATCCTTATGGAATCCAGCCTGATGATCCCTTAGTTCGGCGTCTACTGCGTCTTTCATCCGATTCAGCAGCACTCTGTTGAAAACTTTTCCTGGTACTGATAACAAATTGATGCCTCTGCAGTTCTCACATTTGCTCAGATCTCCTTTCTTTGGTATCTTGATGAGATATCCTTCTTTCCATTCCATTGGCACTTGTTCCTCTTCCCAAATCTTGAATAGAAGGTGAAGCATGTTTCAATGGGGCTGGTCTATTTAGCAGTTCCTCGAAGTATTCTGCCCATCTTTTCCCCTGTTCTTGAGTCTCAGTGATTGTCTTTCCTTCTTTGTCCTTGACTGGTCTCTCTGGTTTGCTATATCTCCCTGCCAATTTCCTCGTTGTATCATATAGTTGTTTCATATTCCCTTCTCTTGCAACTTTTTCCTCCATCGTTGCTAATTCTCCCATGTATTTCTGTTAGTTGGCTTTAATGCTCTTCTTCACTTCCCTGTTTGCTTCTGCGTAGTCTGCTTGTGCTTCGACTTTCTCTGCTCGTGTTCGACTGTTGTTAATTGCTAGTCTCTTGTTCTTCCTTTCTTGAATTTTGTCCAGGGTTCCCATAGAGATCCATTCCTTGTGATGATGCTTCTTAGGACCAAGAACCTCCTGACACGTTGAAGTTAGTGCTTCTTTTATCCTTTTCCAGTTGTCCTCCAAAGTAGTTTCTTGTTCTTTCAGTAGATCCTGTAGAGCCTGGAACCCGTCTGAACTAAATGAGCTATGGAAAAATACTAAATCTCCACAAAACCCCTTCTGATAATTAAAATAGAGCCGTTAACCGTTTTGACTACACCTTTGCTTAACCACACTGGGAGGTGCTCACGAGCCCGAGTATACAAATTCCTAGAACATCTGCCTATATAACTTGCCCCACAGGAGCAGTTGAATCGATAGATACAGAAAGAAGTGGCTAGTCTAGGCAATTTATATTTCAACATCGGCGTGATCATTGGACGTGTGGAAAACATTAGTTGTAGTTTAGCCGCATTAAAAGTCCTTTGGATTTATCTTCGTAGCTTCAGTCTTAACATTTCACTAGGTGCGTCGCCTCTGAATTGTAGACGTATACACAAAAGCTTTTTATTCACGGTTAAACATTCTTTATGCTCTCTTTTACTAGCTATGTTTTTATTTATAAATTCCTCCGGGTATCCGTTTTTTCTCAGGTTCGTGTATAATGTTTTTGTTTCATCTTCGACCGTATCTCGAGAGCATATGGTCTTGATTCTATAGTGTGATGGTTTTAATCAGGCTCCATTTATATTGTAGAGGAACAAAACTAAGAATTTTGTATACTGACCCGTCCACGATGTCTTCCTGTTTATGTTTCTCCTTAATAAACCGTCTTTTCTCCTTGTAAGTAAAACATCTAAAAAAGCTATTCTACCTCCACTTCCCTCTTCACATGTGAATTTCATAGACGGATGAGCTGTATTGAATAGCTGAAGTGTCTCCATTAAATCAGCATAGTCGTTACATAGGATGAACGTGTCGTCCATGTATGAGAAATTATTGAAAAGAATATTCTTTGTTCTTCATATGATTGTGTTTTAATATGATGGGAATTTTTCAGCGATTAATATTTCCTTATATATCTCCTTATATTTCCTTGAAAAAGCTTGGACCAGATTGCCAGGCGAAACGTTGAATTTACTTCAAAATTCATTCGCTGAGATTTTACAAATATACATTCTTCCTATTTAATGTCTTATCTAATTATAATTAAACCTTGAGAATTGGACATCATTTTATTTTTGTTATTTGTGTATATTCCGTTGTTGTTTTTTTATTATTATTGTTTTTATTATTTGTTATTTCTCGTATGTTTTTCAGAATCAAGTTGATAGTAATTATGTTTATAGGTCATTATAAATATGAACTTGTTCTATTATATGTGATGATTTGCATCATCACGACATGAACGATTCGATGTTATTTTATTCTCACAATTGAAATCATGAGTCAATTAAAGCTAGACCACCATCGAAAACCTGGAAACACTGGACGGCCGTTTCGTCCTATTATGGGGCTCCTCAGCAGTGCGCATCCACGATCCCGCACCCGCGAGATTCGAACCCAGGACCTACCAGTCTCGAGCCGAAGCCCTTAACCGATAGACCACTGAGCTGGCATCCAATGGTGTTAATGTCTAACTTTAACAAATCCACGATTTTGAGCGACCGTTCACCAATTGTCTTCAGTGAGATGATATCTCTACAACAGACCTGGTTATTTTATTCATAAGTTGTTTATAGATAAATTCAAAGGATTAAATCGTTGGTACTGGTGAGATTGAAAGGTAAATAACTGTTTTAAATATGTAAATTATTTAAATTTGGTAATAGTGCATAAACATTATGACCTTAAACATGAACGTACTCTTATAACCGAACAGTTAATATACTAATCACGTCATTGAGTGATCTTTAGTTAGACAACCATTGGAAAACAAGAAACACTGGACAAATGTTTCAACCTAGTTCAGATATCGCTTGAGATTGAATACAAGCCCTTTCATCTCAAGCGCAAAAGCTTAACTCCTGGACTAATAAGCCAGCATTCAGTGGTATGCAAGTCGAACTTCAATCAATTCGCGATATTATGATACTATAATATAACAGCTATCTAGTGTTTACTGGTTTTCAATAAATATTGAACAATACTCAGTCTATAATGTAAACCGCGAAAATTCAACAATCCACAAATCCCCTAAACTATATAGGAATCGTGCATACAGTAAAAGTGACTGGATTTAAAATAGTGGAATCAAGGTTGTAAGTTCCATAAACTGGCTACATACTTGCGTAGACAAAACGTAACAAATATATATTCTTATTACTAACTAACATCCCCAAAAATACATTTTAAGAAAAGTGCTCACCTTCTAAGTTGATTTAATTGAGATATATTAGCAAACATATAAAATATATAATAAGAATATGGAGGATTCTCATTTAAATCATACTCATCTGGTGTAGGAGTTGATGCATTGAATACAATTTTATCAGATTTCGATTCATCATCCACTGAATCAAAACCAGTTACATATTGTAGAAATGCATGTAGTTCAGGATGTGATTTAGGATTGACAGTTGCCTCGAACAATGGTTGAAAGACATTTGTGATAATATCCTGAAATGAAAAAAATTATGAAAACTAAAACATTCTAAAAAAAACATGGAAAACTGAGTATTTGAAATTTTTTTCTTTGTGGTAACTTAAAATTAAACGCTTCAGTTACTTTTAGACATATAATATTGTGAAAGAAAAGGAATTACATAGATTTTCATTGAAGTGAAGAGATGAAAAGAATCCTGAATATTTAATATCAATGATCATTTTCTGTGGTTCATAACAGCCAAAATTTATACTTATGATTATTGTTTACTTAACACGTTACATTTTTTTTGACATAAGGAGTAAAAATTGGTCAATAAACTTAGTTGTTTAACAATTCTAGCAGCAACAACAAAAATAAAACACCTTTATGATTTTATTGTATTATGAACAGAAATTTTGTGGTGTATGCTACTTATGTTGACAAATATAAGTAGTATGTAGAATGTCTGCCAGCAGAATATTGAGCAAATCAAATTAAAAGGAACAGAAATGCAAACAAAGATTAATTTTAACAACAAGAACTCACACAAAACTGATAAGTACTAGAAATTAAAGAGAAATAGACAGTTTCTTCATTCCAGTTAGGAAACCACAAACATTTCACGGTCTTCATCATCCCCGAAAGAACTGAATCGAATACATGGTCTTTAAACCTAAGGGAGGAGTCTGATACATTTAAACCAATTAATCGAAAACCAATAGTTAACCTTTTCCAGCTTCAGACAATTCACATATTGTGTGGTGACCAAAGAATGCCATGGCAAAGCAATTGTCTTATTTGCGACATAGTTGATGCCATATGGCATGTACTGTGTTTTTTCATAGTCCGTCACTATCTTATAGTTAAGTTAATATCCTTTTATAAATACACAAATTGTTGAGGAGAGAAATATCAGTCAAAACATTTGAGTTAGTGCTTTTCACATGTTTTCGTATACTCACTTTATAAAACTGAGAAATCTAATACATTTCAATGATATTTTATTTATTGAAAGACTCTACAATGAAGGGTATGATTTTTCAAGGAAAGTAAACAACTAATAAGTACGAACTATCTGTTTTACAAAACATTATCGATTTAACATCTTTTTCAACATGCTTCAGAAAGTAATAAGAACTATTCACCAGTTAGCTATTGATCAACTGGTCAATTTAATCTAATTTTCATTAAAATATAAGAAAAAAAACAATGACCTACATTTTGCTAATAGCACAAATCATTACTAACAGGAAATTGGGAAATTTATTCAATAGAAGTTATACAATTACAGGAAAAGAACAACATATTGAATTATTTTATTTTATCTCAATTCCATTTCGGAAATTGAACTGCTTTTAATCAATATTTTTCACTGAAAACTTTTTCATATAACTTTTTTCGGTTATAAAAAAAAACTAAACCATGTCAATAATTTAGTGAAACCTTTTAACACTTCCTTAAAATAGTTGAAAGCGTGAGTCAATTGAAGCTAGACCACCAGGTTTTCCATGGTGGTCCAGCTTCAATTGACTCACGCTTTCAACTATAGTAAATACTAAATCTCCACAAGAACCTCTTCCTTAAAAGCTCATTATCATTGTTATTGACTTCAAACTACTTATTTACGGTATAAGCGTATTAAATATATGAATTTACTTGAAAGTATTTCATTGATCCTTTAGCGTGATAAACATCGAAAAGACGAGGCACTTGAATCAACCAACGTATATTATCTGAATAAACTTTACAATCAATAGCCCATCTAGCCAAATTATCCCATTCATTGATAGATCTACCATAAATTGAAAGACGTGGTTCAGCATTTTGATATTTCGATTCAGAAAAGTCATAGAACACTTCCTGATATTTGAAAAAAATGAGAAAGAGGCAGAATAACTTACAGAGAAATGTAAAAACATTAACACTGATATTGTTATTATTGTTACTCATGAAAATTTGACAGGTACAGAAAGACAACTAGAGTAAACTAATTAGAATAGTCTATTTATAGAGATAAATGGTTCATTTAGGCAGATAATAATATCGAAATTTGAATGGCAGTTTAGGTCTCCATATACTCCCCATACTGATAATAATCATGTGCACGCTAGTAACTAGCTTCAAGACAGATCTGCTGGAGTCCTAGTGAGAAGTTGTGACTGGTGGAGTCCAATATTTTTCGGGTATGAGACAGTTATCCATCTCAGACAATGAATGAAGAGTTGTGCAAGATCATGGATCAAAGTATAATAATGAATATTAAACGATGTCAAAAATGCTAAGTGCTTAAATAAAAGACACTAAACATAAAATCTACGCGTTGATATGTAAGACAATTTATTTTCAATAATAAGTCAATCACTGTTTTTTTTATTGAATTTTCAATTTATTCTTATGATATTAATTAACATCCTTCAATTCTGTATTTAAATGATAACTCTTAAGTTTAACAGTTTCTCTAGCTAATAATCATTTAATCAGTATACGACTGGATAAACTCAAATGTACATGATACCACTGTCATCTTTATCGAATAGATCTTCCTTTCAATATCTGTGATTTGCAGAAGTTGGAAATAGGGACAGAACAAACCTATTGTATATTTTTTTGAGGTGTCGTTTGAGCAGTCACGGATACTGCAAATCATAGGAAGAAGAGAGATAGAACAATAAAACTTCAAAGATATGAATACGCTAGATCTAAGTCAACATATTAACTTCGCCATATTAGACTCTATGAAGTTAACTGGGTTGATAGTGAAACACGAGCAAAATGATAACAAAGCTTGAAGAATATGTTCTATATATATAAATTCAACCGTAAAAATTCCCATAAGATAGGACAATTTGATGGTTACCAAATCAAAATGTTTGTGGCCTATAAGGTAAAATTGGAAAAAGTTGAGAATTCAGAATGTAGCATTCAGGGTTTCTAATTAGTACCTTTTGATACAGTTTTCGTTTATCCCTTACATGAAAAATTATAACCTAATTAAAGGAAATTTTCTCTTAATACAGTATAATATTATCACGCTACTTTCAATGGTATATCATCTTGGTATTTATTTGATGAGTAACAGGTTTGTGTTTGAATAAATTACGATAAACAAAGATAGATAGTGGCTAGCAGTGGAAAACAGGACGCGGGTTTCGTCCTGTGTGAGACTCGTCAGCTGGACGTACCTGCATCTCTGATTTGGTGTTCAATCTGGGACTCGAACCCAGGACCATTCGCTTCAAACGCCATCACGTTATCCACTCGGCCATTGAGTTCTGCTAGCCACATGCTTGTGCAATAGGGTGAAGTTTAAATTCATTTAGTATTGTTTGTTTGAATCTTCCAATTCATGTTTAGGACTGCGACTGGTCAGTCCCTAATTCGCGTGATAATAACAACAAGTGAATTATGATAAAGTTTATTCAACAACTAGGTCATATTATCAAAATTATCTCAATAATCGTGTTAAATAAGATAAGTATAATCTTTTCAAATACAAAAGTGTTATTAATTATTTATCTGAATAAATTTAACGTGAGTGAATGAGTGAAAATTAAACAAACGATAGGATAATGATAAAAACAGATTTACCTTCAGAACATGTGCAAAGAAAACGCCCTTAATGTAATTGTCGGTCTTTAAAAACACTTCACGTAGCTGACTTTGACCAATGGGATTGTATTTGGCATTGAATTTATCGAATCGATGAAAAGTATTACGATCCTTATGGTTAACAAAAATTAGATACAATTACTCATTAGAGTGAACGACTTGGAAAAATAATCACCTAAACTACTATGCGGATGATAATAATGACACATGAAAAAAGGGATTATTGTTATTATTAGTATTGTATAAATCATTTTCTTCAGTTCCAGTACACAAGCTAAGGCGAGAGAAATAAACCTCTTCCTTATGAAAATCAATAACACTATGCGACTGACCAAACCTCAGTGAGCGATGCCCAACAATAAACAGGTACACCTAAAAGTCTTGTCCACAAGTTTCAGTCGCTTTTAGTCACATTCGTATTACGATACTATTTGATTTGCTGAGTATGTCCACCAGAGGAGTCAGACAATAAACAAATAATTTACTAAGAAAAATTGTCAAACTAATGAACAGTATTATGTCTTGTTTAAATACCAATAATACGTTTAGATCAACAATAATGTCTACAATTTACTGTCAACCAAAGCACGTGACTTTTCACAATAGAAACCGAACCAATCGTTATTTTCCAGAAGTGAAAAAAATTAAGATATGGTGTAACAAAGAAAGACGAGCTAGACATTTAATAACAAATTAAGGAGAGAGAAACATACTTATTCACCAAATGATATGCTTTTATTGTGTATTTAGGTATATATATATATATATATATATATATATATATATATATATATATTAATATTAGGCCAGACACTGCAGGCAAAATATTAAGAGATTACCATTAGTTCTTAGTTTTGAGAATCTTTGAAATGTTTTCATGCCATTGAAAACATAGAAACGTGCAATCATTAAGGTCGAAAAAGAATGCAACTGGAATTGTTTACCCAGACGAAAGTGATTTACGATATTTTTAATGATCGATGTTTACAATCTTCGATTAAAGTAGATGATATTGTTTTTCCAGATGAATGGTTCTCAGAAAAATGATTTAACTAAAGAACCATTAAAGCTATCATAGCTCTAGAATAATAAAAAAGCAATAGTTACTGGTTTCACTAATGTTCAAAAAGCCATAGCAATCTCTACCGTGATCAATTGTCAGAATAAAATCCTTCTTCCCGCCTTGGTCAGAGATAGTGGAGTAGTTTATAACTGAACTTAAATACAGCCCTCTTTCAAAACTTTCTAAATGTTTTTTAATTTTTGTGTTCTTACACTATGTTGGTATATGTCTCCTGGTTCTTAGGCAGTTACTTCAAAAGCGACCTCTTGTCAGAGTATTCTGCTAACTCCCGTATTACATATTATTCAATCTGACAACTGTTTGATTACGTTCTTAATTTTTGCAAACAATCGCTTTGCTCATTACAATTAATACGTCCACTTCCTTCTAATCACTTAGTTAACCATTCGAAGTTATTTTTATAATCCCTTCCGGAATTTTAATCTTATTATTACTCAATTAGAATCATTTTATTGTTTTAAACCATATATATTTAAGTGAAGTGTTGGGAGGTAGCAAATTTATAATCTAGCAACTTAGTTATGCTTGTTATTTAAAGCATTTGAATCAAATGATGTTATAAAATGCATCAAAGGATTAATTGATGTCAAGTACTACTTATTTGGAGGTGTTTAAAATTGACTATTGACCAGATACGCAAAACATGCATTTTTGACAATAGCTATATTGCGTAAGCAATTGTAACTGTTGTGGATTTCGTTTGTGGTATATGATAAACTCTCATCTGCAATATTTTCTGCTATTTCACATCGACTTATACTAGACTTGTTCCCTGGTAAAAAAGAGCAAGTGTCAGTTTTAACAAGTGGCCACACTAACGCTTTGGTTTAATTATAATATTGAGTCCGTAAGGAAAAACTGAAGTGAACAGGTTACTATGAAAAAATATTATTAGAATCCAAGGTAACTATAAGCACGATGTTATTAAATCACAACGCTTTTAATAATTACTTATTAAAGCCTTAAATTTTGAATTTACAAGAGATGACTTTCAAGATCTCAAAGATTTTTATCACTTGAAGCAGTTATCCAATGATTCCAAGTTCCAGACAGTTTCAAGTTTCATCCTCGTTTATTATGAAAGTTGAAATCTAATCTATTTTTTACACTCAAAAGTACGTTTTACTTGTAATTTCATATTAGATTTTAGCTATATGTAAGTGACTTTAATAGAGCTCTTTCTTGAACAGTTTACCTCGAAACTGGAAAATTTTCAACATAAATTGGTGTGTACTAAATAACTTGAAATTGATGAACTGAAGGAAGTTTGATCCCTTTCACAACTAAATACTTGCTTTAATATTAAATGAATTTATAATATAATACTAATTCGGTATTTAATGTTTTACACTCCTAACTTCTGTAGGTTAGCTATATTATGCCACCAATATTCACTGCCATTGGTGATATTTGTTGAACCTTCGACATGGTTGAACCTCATTAGAGCTCATTAGAACCTAGCGAATCATCTCTCGTCAACCACTAGTAAAAATATATTAACTGCTAGTTTAGGGAGCCATGGAGATTGATGGCTTTGTTGTTCTTGTTCAGAACTTTTCCATCGAGAGCATTCACAACTATACACAGGATAGAACCTAGGACTTAAAGGTCTTATGTTAAGTACAAAAGCTGTAGACCATTGATTTGGCATATAACTTCCTATACTCTCAGTTATAATTAATTTATGATGCGAACGGCAAGTAACTATTCATTGAGAAAAGTCTATCTCAATGCTGTTTGCTTTACAATAGTTCGCTAAGTGAAATCAGCTAATTCGAAGACTATTTAAATACTAAGGAACATATAATTGTTTTAGAAATTTTACGTTTAGATAGAAAGCAATACATCAGTATATATTTGCTTTAAACAATCTGTTAGATTTCGAAATATAATTATCTTGTTAATTTATGTTCATGCAGAGTTTTTAAAATTTCCTATGTGCTACAACGAATCAACCTTCTAAAACGAACTGCATACTTGAAACTTAGAGGTGATCTAACTAATTCTAATAATTTCCGCCCTCCCAAAGACCGAGAAAATAGACTACATTCACTCATATATGTTTATTTATCAAACAAAGAACAATGGAGTCAAGAAAGGTTAAATGTTCAGACAAATAAAACATATGAACTTAGCTTTCTGACTGAGTCTAGATGACTCGGCATGTTATCATTATATTACAGATGTAATAGGAAACTTGAGGCAAGTTTGGGACATGTATGTTCAATTGATTTCAAAGACATAATGTCTGCTGACAAATTCAATTCTTCAATTAGAACTGAAAACATTCATCAAGATGATATGAGGTGGGACAATAAGTAAATCTAATAGTTAGGTTTTAGCTTCACAGACCGATGAGAGTTTCGATTGAAAACTATCCAAGAGGACAGTTTAGAGTTAAGCTAACGGGATGAAGTGTAACATTAGAAGAAATAGACTGAAATATGACATGATTCAGGGTCCCATCAACTGATCCATTTTATTTGGGAATTGATATACAAGAGACAAAAACATAAAATTCAGTCAAGTGATATGTAATTCTTCTATCGAATAAATCTTTTAAGATATATTTACACATAACGCACCTTGGTTCCATTCACCATTTCCTATATTCTACAAATATTGAGTTATCTTTAAAACACATCACATAGGAAAGCAGAAGTTCATTCTCTCCTTAATCTTGTTGCACCAACAGTAATCACTTAACTTGATACAAAGGATTTATGGAATCTCAATTAATTAAGTTCAATTTTTAACAAGTTTTGCTTAAGTATTTATTTATTTCAGATCAAATACATGTTAACATGTCATGTTAACACGTATGAATTAGTACTACTCTTGTTACGAAAGTAATATAATTCACGTATTTGAAAACAAGTCTTTCAATTATTGATGTCATTGTACATCAATAGAAAAAAAATAATTAGCAAATAATCAAACGTGAGGGTAATATGGATGAAGTAATATGGTAGAGAGCATTGATGAACAGTGAATGAATATGTTTAGTTCAGTCAATGTTTTTAAAGAACAGGTGGATTGTGACTAGTAGTGACTATGTAACGGCACTCCGAACAAGATGCACATTCGCCAACAAGGACGAATCAAAATTCAGTCAAGAATACCAACAACAGGATAATTCAAAGATTTTTTCATACAAATAAAAAGTATCATCCCCGTTGAACAACTGAGTGGTTATTTGAAATCAATGGACAACGTGTAAGCGAAACATAGTAAGTTCGAATCCATGTGAAACGCAGTTAATGAGTTCGAAGTAAGAAAAAACATACTTTTAAGGTCCCACTGAGAATCATAATCTATCTATTCTATAGAAAAACCTTGTGATTAAATTCAACTTAGTATTGTTTGTTTGAATCTTCCCATCGATTTGTTAGGACTGCAACTGGTCAGTCTCTAATTGGCACATGTGCATACTGTGCGTATTGCCTCGATATACCTTAATTCACAGGCATGGTTAGCAGAGATGGATAGTGGCTAGCAGTGAAATACAGGAAGCGCGTTTCGTCCTATTTGGGACTCGTCAGCTGGATGTACCTTCATCTGAGTTGATGTTCACTATGGGACTCGAACCCAGTACCCTCGCTTCAAACGCCATCGCGTTATCCACTCAGCCACTATCCATCTCTGCTAACCATGCTTGTGAATTAAGGTATATCGAGGCAATACGCACAGTATGCACATATGCCAATTAGAGACTGACCAGTTGCAGTCATAAACACTTCGATGGAAAGATTCAAACAAACAATACTAAGTTGAATTTAAACTTCACCCCATCGCACGAGCAAGTGGCTATCAGGACTCAGTGGCCGACTGGATAACGCGATGGCGTTTGAAGCGAGGGTACTGGGTTCGAGTCCCAGAGTGAACATCAACTCTGAGATGAAGGTACATCCAGCTGACGAGTCCCAAATAGGACGAAACGCGCGTCCTGGATTCCACTGCTAGCCACTATCCATCTCTGATAACCATGCTTGTGACTAAATATTACATCGAGGCAATCCACACAGGATACACACATATACCAACAAAGACCGACCGAAATTCAATTTACAATATTAGCGATTGAATGAGATCAATCAATAGTGTTATTATGAAAGCCAAGAATTATGATTTAAAAAAGTGTCACCTAATAGTTTGTAATCGCATGATAATTTTAAATGACACATACACAACTGACACGCATGTGCTATCCTTTTCGTGTAAATTATACACAGCAATATTATCTATACAAATCAACGAACCTTTATTTTAATTAATTATTTATTTTCAGAAGGGGTTTTTGTGAAGATTTTAGTAATTTATATAGTTGAGATCATGAGTCAATTGAAGCTAGACCACCATGGAAAACCTGAAAGCACTGGACGGCCGTTTCGTCCTATTATGGGAAACCTCAGCAGTGCGCATCCACGATCCCGCACTTCGGGCTTCGGCTCGAAACTGGTAGGTCCTGGGTTCGAATCCCGCGAGAGTGGGTTCGTGGATGCGCACTGCTGAGGATTCGAACCCAGGACCTACCAGTTTCGAGCCGAAGCCCGAAGTGCGGGATCGTGGATGCGCACTGCTGAGGTTTCCCATAATAGGACGAAACGGCCGTCCAGTGCTTTCAGGTTTTCCATGGTGGTCTAGCTTCAATTGACTCATGATCTCAACTATATAAATTACTGAAATCTTCACAAAAACCCCTTCTGATAATAATCAGATGCTCACTAGTGACTGACTCCTTGAGGTATTTCCTGGAGTTCTAGTGAGAAGCAGTAACCGGTGGAGTTCAACCAGGTCTGTTGTGAGATAGGAACTCACTGATGACATTGGTGAATGGTTGCTTAATTTCGTGAATCAGTTGAAGTTAGACATTAACACCGTTGGATGCCAGCTCAGTGGTCTATCGGTTAAGGGCTTCGGCTCGAAACTGGTAGGTCCTGGGTTCGAATCCCGCGAGAGTGGGTTCGTGGATGCGCACTGCTGAGGAGTCCCATAATAGGACGAAACGGCCGTCCAGTGCTTCCAGGTTTTCCATGGTGGTCTAGCTTCAATTGACTCATGATCTCAACTATATAAATTATTTATTTATTTATTTAAACACATAAATATTGGTACAAAAAGCACCAGATAAATATGCGCCTCACAAATCTCATTTGATTTGTGTGAGGGCTGAGATACTGCCCAGGTGCCCAGACTGAAGTAGGTGGTTTTCTTAGGGGGTCACACCCCGAGCATTTGACCTAAAAGTCTGATCCACAAGGCAGTGGAGCAACGTCAGGAGATGCGATCCCATGGTATCCGGTGACCAACGATTGATTCATACGCCATTTGTTCCCTCGCAATCCTGGAGCCCACATTCACCATTGGTTTAGAATCAGGGTTTTCCAAATCCCCTAGGTGAAATTTCCGTGTCCACCAACCCCGTTAAAGCTCCGGACATTCGCTTCACGTCCTCTCCATTTCGTAAATAACAGGCTTGCCGCGAGAAAGGAGTGAGTAAGACTTTCCTGGTAGTGGTTGCATCTACGTGGCCATGTGAGAGCATTTCGAGAGGGAGAGCGGACTCTCCGCACTCTCGACCGTACCAGGGCATTTGGGCGTATTTTATGAAATTACTTATTTAATAACACTATGATTTCATAAACCATAAATAACAAGGTGAGCTACTTGAAATCAGTGAAAATCTAAACACACGCTGTTAATATATCCAGCTTAGTAAATACCATAGTAATAATGTTTTCTTATGATATAATAGTGCGAATTTGTACGAAAAATTAACTAAAAATTCTATCTCATACGATTTTATGAATAAAGGATAAACTGGAATAGTGATGAGGGATAAAGACTGCAAATGGGATAGGATTATAAGTTATGGATTTATAATGCCTTCAAAAAACCTGTCATCTTAGAAATTAGAAATCAAGTAACACGACTTATTCACGTACGATTTTCATACGACACTAAAGTTTAAATAGTCAAAACTCTTTAGGGCAGTGAAATATGACTTATGAAAGCAGGAGGCACACATAGGCCAAAAATATTTGGTCACACGTTACATAGATGCGGTAAGGTGTACGTCACTAAGGTAGAAGGAAAAATCAATTGATAAAGCCATAAACGTACTTCGACTGAGTGGTTACATTATGTGTTACACACCTCTAGACACCATCTATCCTGATGAAATAGTAGCAAGTTGAAAAATAGCTAAAGGAGGAGGATCTAGATATGGTATCAGTCTGTTGATTCAACAACTGCTGATTTGATCTATGAAGGTAGATGGGGACTTCTAGATTTAAGTCCATGTAATAGTTGTCACTTATAGTTAGAGAGTCAGAATGAAATGGAACAAAATGAATCAAAATAAAGCAGTTATATCCTATTTTTATCTTTATTTAAATCCTGATTGAAATGTCTTATTTTTTATCTTTTTCTGTCGGTTTATTCATTTTCGAACTGTAATAATCTGATAGGAATGGGGGCAGTAGTGCGCCACAGTTAATTGATTATCTTCAATTGATTAGCTGCAATTGACTCATGATTTCAACTATGAAAATATTAAATTCTTCACAAAACCCCCCTCTGATCTATAACTGATTATCTGTTAAGTTTGTAACCTCTTAGTCTTAAGATACTCCCAAATTGTGTTTATATAGTGGGCTATTGGTTAATCAGTGGCAAGTCCAACTCAGTTAAAGTCATTTAGAGTCAATCACTCATCACTGTGATTAAAATTTATAAAAATAAATAGCTTGATACACTGTTCTTGATCTATTTTTAATGCATTGCACTTTAGTGAACTATGGCTTAATTGTCAGTTTCTATGTTGACAGTGGCTGACTAACTAACTATATTCAGAGGTATCATTTGCATAGAAATATGTTGATAAACCATTTAAAGCGTAGATGTGATAACACCCATTATTTTTTGAGTAACAGTTAAATGTTTACATCACTGAAACAGTTATATATACATTGAAGACACTCCAATGAGGTAGTTTATAAACTAAACATCCCCATCTAAAATCTAACTATAAATTTTAAATAATTTTTAAGGAAAACGTACAATCTCCTTTCAGAATATTTCAAAATATGCAAGAGAATAACTTTTAAATCTATTGAATCTTGGACTTACAGCGTGAACATCCAAATTGTCAATATTTAAATCATAAAGCGTAATTCCAATTTTATCAATCAACTGTAAAATAAAAACATGAAAAAGCAAATATAAAAAAACAATTCGATAAAGAAAAAAAACAGATGATCAATAATTTCGTTAATACATTCAATGTGATATTGCTTACAATCATTGCGAAGACAACTTGTTTTGGATATACAAAACAAACTATAATAAAAACAATAATCCGACTCAATAATTAAGTATAGTTAAAGGTAAGCGAACCATTACTAGCGAGAGATGAAACCAAAGTGATCAGGAGTAAAATGATTTGAAAATATTCTCAGGAGACATAGTATTTTACGTTAACATTGTGCTTTAAATATCCATGATCATAGCAGTGAACCAGCTACACATATGCAAAGTGTAGAAAGTGAATAATCTTGTTAACAAAGACCTAACCTTATCTATATAATGTGGGTTATCGTGTTGTATGTTAGATAACCATACTATGACAGTTATTCTGTAATTAAATTAAGTCCATATAATGTCTTAATTATTATTTATCAAGTGTTATATCATATTGAAACACAATAAATAAACAATACTTATCGTTAGATAATAATGTGCTAAATTACTTAAGAAATGGAACTGGATGAAAGGACCGCTAGCACACTTTCCGTATTTAAATCACATTCGGTTGCATTAAATGACTTTAGAACCACTCTATCTTTTTACAGAAAATTTTAATTTTATTCAGAAATATTTGTCAAAAATGAACGAAAAGAAAAATTGTTATCGTCGGAGGTGAATGTAGAATGTTTGACGAGAATCAGTCCAAGTAATTTACTCGCTAACGTTAACAGTAAATTAGGATGTATGAAAAGCTGAGATAATAAGTCAGTAATTTTTTAAAAACTTGAAAATGACATTTTCAAACAAAATATTGTCTTAGTGTTATTTTATGTGCATGAGTCCGTTGAAGACGTATGTAGCATGTGCATTGATGTAACCCTTGATGATTCAAGTTCACTCATCACTGAAGTAAACTCTTGTGTATTCCGCACTATGAACGCCAATCCTGTATGAATTGCTGTTGATACGATTCAGCTGCTAGAACCCATAAGAATGGAACATGTCTTGAACTTGACACATAATAGTGCATAAATATCATTTACCTTGATATATACAATGAGTTTGAAAGACAAAATGAAGTGTTTTGTAATTAGAAACAAAACTCAGTATAATCAACCACATAAATGAACGCGCCAGCTATGCCAGTTAATAGAAAACATTTTGTTAGGAAGTACAATCCACAACACTCCTGTTTTATTAAATCGTTATTTCCGAGCAAATAGCTTGATGAATTAGTACGAAATGTACAATTATTAGTTGTATATTTCCCACAATTATCAGTTGCCCTCCAATGCCCTGGTATGACCGAGAGTGGGGAAAGTCAACTCTCTCTCTCGAAATGCTCTCATATAGCCAAGTACATACAACCACTGCCAGGGAAGTTTTACTAACTTCTTTCTGGAGGTAGGCCTGTTATTTACGACATTGAGAGAACGAAAAGCGAACGTTCGGCTCTATAACCGGGTTGGTAGATACGGAGGATCTATTTAAGGGAGTTGGAAAACTCTGATTCCAAACCAATGGTGCACATGAGCTCCAGGATCTTGATGGAACAAAAGGCGTATGAACCAATCGTTGGACACCAGATACCATAGGATTGCATCTCCTGACGTTGCTTCACTACCTTGTGGATCACACCTTTAAGTCGAAGGCTCGTGTGTGGCTCCTTATGAAAACCACCTGCTTCGATTTGAGCACCCAAGCAGTATCACATCCCACACATAAATCAAGTAATTGGTGTCCCTTTGTACCAATATTTATGTGTTCAAATAAGTAAACAAATAATTATTAATTTTAATAGTTGAGGTCATGAGTTTTCCATGGTGGTCTGGTTGTAATTGACTCATGATCTCAAATATTGAAATTACAATAATATTCACAAAAACCCCTTCTGATATTAAATAATTATTAATTTGCTAGATGTCGAAACAAAAGTGTTTATTAGTCGATAATCTCCAGTTAGCAATTAATCATAAAAAATAAATACTCATGAATGCATCCAATCCATTAATACAGTCGTCTATTCATAAAATAAAAACTCCAGTAGTTCCCATTTTAATGCATATTTTTACATGGTTTGAACTGTTATATATCGGTTAGAAAAGTATATAGTGTTGCATATTGTACTTTTGTTCAAATAATTGACTTTTACAGTCACAGGCTAGGTGTGACATAAGATACTGTAAGATGGAGAAGAAGGAGAGAATAATTATTAACTAGCTAAAAGGTTTCTGTTTTCTACTATCTCACTAATCTAGTGCATAATTATGCAGATATCGGACAACAATATTACATAAAATGTAAGTACTTTCTAGCTTATGAGGATTTATTCAAGAGACTTTCTATTTGTATATTCCTTATATATATATATATATATATATATATATATATATATATATATATATATATATATATATATATATATATATATATATATATATATATATATATATGAGAAACGCCCAGTTATATATGTTAATTGTTTGAAAGTACACAATAATTTTGACTTTCTAATACATAATGTATCTAACTCGGTTTCTTTTTAACAAATAAAAATTGAGAAACACCCAATAGACTGAATGCTTGATTAGATGTTTGATCTCGTAAACAATGGAACATTCTATTAGTTATTCGAAAGTTTATTTATATGAGAAATCAACGTAATTTAAAGTACATTCATAATATTTCAAGAAAACATACATGATAATAAATCATTTAGAAGAATTGGTAGGAATTCACACAAACTCTTCGACAATAAAGTGCAATACATTTTATTTTATGACTGCGCAGATTAATCTAATAATAACGTATGAGAATACAAAATCAAGAAACAAATGCAGTCTCTCTCGTTTCTTGATACCCCCAAAACCCACTAATTCATGAAATTTTTAAAAGAGAATACTTAATCTGCAACTATGATGGGCTGTCATTTACTAAATGAGTAACAATATAGAAAGTTTTAACCAACCTATATTTAGATTACATGTAGCAAACGGTAAAAATCAATGTTAGTAAACTATCAGGTTAAGAATTTGTTGAAGACAAATGGTAGCTATGTTGACTGTCGAATCGGTAAGTTGGTAGATCACTTTAGTTATGCATGGATATATCCTATTCACTACTCATTACAATCTTTTTTAATTACCAGTGTTTCAATAATCAGGTATCTCCAGAATTCATACAGAAAGACAAATGTTTACTGATGTGAATAAAAATATATTATTTTTGAGGTTTACATCAGCTGTTCTTAACGAAATGTATAAAAATAACGGAATAAGTCATCTATACTGTCGATAAGTATTTCAGAAATATAGAAATTTCCTAGATTTGACATCTTAAAAATATTCAGAAAGTTTTTAGTTGGCACAAAAGCGTTATTGTATCCGAAAATCTAGTTATGTTTAATCTCTAAATGAAATCTAAGAATCACTTTAATAAAATTAAAAAAAAATTACATTGTAAAATAAACATGTGAATAAACTCTAACAAACTACTCACTGAAGTGTACAAGTTTACAGAAAGTAACAAATAGCGAAAAAAAAGTAACAAAAAAAGCAAAGCATTTCTGTTTTTTTTTTTGAAAAATGTAGATTTTAAAGCAATACTAGGACTAGAAACTCAGTAAAGAATTTGAAAAGTCATTTCACCACGAACCGAAGTGAAAACTGGCATAACGAAAGTTAAAGGGGCTATGGATAGCTGGTTAGTTGAAACTTACAATCCTTCTGGAGCATTAAATATCAAGTCCTTTATATATTTAACCAAGTAACATTCAAGTCATGTAACACTATACAATCCAATGGTTAATCATTTAATCCCAAAAACAGTTCAGTATGTGCAATCTGCAGAGAAATCCAGAACAAATTAGAAAAGCTGTATAATTTCTATTAGTTGATTTTTTTAATGATTTCGGTTGCAGATGAGCGATACAACATTGAATTGCATAAAATCTTAGAAACCCAAACGAAGAAAGTAAATATTGAATGAACTTGTTGATAGCTACGATTAGCAATGGCTCCAGAAGAAAATTTACTGATGCCCTAAAGATTATCTGAGACAGTATCTCTTGGTAATGAATCCAAAATGCTTAATCTGTAAAAACCCAATTTTCGGACATTTCTAATCCATGTGTTTCAGAAATAGCATTATTTCCAAATAGTTCACTTTAAATACTAGGGGTGTTATTATATTAAACAAATGTTTACTTATTCAAACAATTAGAAAATTCAAACTAATTTGTTAACAATTATTTTAATAAGCGATGCAGTTTTTTGTAAACTTGTATGTGCAGTCTAATGTGATATTGATTGAGAATTGAATAGCAAAGCCGTAGTACGTCTTAGTATTAGAAATAGTATGAGTGACAGTAAAAAAAATTGGGCGTAGACAATATTATTCGAAAGGAATGAATTTATGTACGAAAGGTATTAAACTATTTTTTGAAACTTATAACCTGAGACAAGGTAAATAGTGAGTTTATATGCCAACACTTCTAAACACTGATCCCAATAATCAAGTGAATTCCATTCAGATAATCTGAACCTACCAATATGGCTTGACTCAACAGTCACTAACTTCATGGACTGGTACTACATTTTGGTATTCTGATCACTAGTTTTGTTCCAACCTATTCCGATACCGGGAAACATTGTGCATTGAGTTAGGTGACTGTTCTGTTATGGATACTTTATACATGAGTAGATAAACATTCACATTTTTATTAACTTATTATCTAGTACACTATATTTAATCTCAACAAAATACATGACCAATGCTTGGTGATTTGTTGTAGTCCATGAGTCTACAAAACAGATCGCTGATACACATACATACAAAAATACCAATGTTCCCTAATTTTACAGTTAATCATATTGAACAAATCTATACAAACTATTCAACAGAATATTAGTTTATTGATTACAATTACACTAATCTATAACAATTTACCGATAAAGAAATAGAATAGGAAATAATCCTGTGACTTACTTCACTTAATGTCATAGGCTTTTTAGTTTTTGGATCTTCACATACATAAGTATCTGATTTAGTACGAATTGTTTTCTTGATAAAACGTAGTAAATGTTTTTGGTTCATACATGATGATGCATGTATATGTGTATCAACCTGAAATAAAATCAATAAATGAAATTTTAGATCATAATAAGCATGACATATTGTGAAAATTATGAACCAAATTAAATTGATTACCAAATTAAAGCAACTATGAAAACAATCTCTTTTTTTCATTATTACTATAAATAATTAGGGTTACGGTTTAATGTAGCAATGTGGATTGAACAGATCGTAATATAAATAAAACGGAACCAATGTGAAACAGATAAACAGAAAAATCTGTAAATAAATTAATATATTTGTGAAATCCCAATGAGTAGAAAAAATTAAATTTTCTGACGTTTCGTAACTCAGTGTAAGCCGCTTCTTCAGAGAGTAAATAACCAATTAATCCAAGTTTAAATAGTACAACGGAACAACACAAGAAAAATCTGTTACAGAGATTACAAAAATTTATTCTGACGGTTTCGATACCTTAGACCAAAAATAAGTGACAGATATAAGTAACTATCAACTTAAGAAAGTGTAATCTATGGTAATAGAGAAAATAGGCATAAATAAAAATAGGAATAATATAGATACTTAGAAAAATGAAACGAATATCCTTACATCAGTCATAACAACAAACCATATGATACATAAGAGAAGCGTTTAAATAATGAGTTTTTAGGGTAAAGAATCAATAAACTCGAAACAACACTATCCTTATATTCTTAATCAATAGAATATACTACTTCATTACTCTAATAAGAAAGTAATATTGAATAACAATCCGATTTACATGAATCTCCAACAAGATGGAATTTAATAGGGAAACTCATAACAAGTAAAATGACAAAAACTGGGTAGAATTAAGTTGTGTCAACTGATAAAATTGTTTAAAAAATTATATCACATTCATCCAGTCAAACTTAATGGTTAAAGCATTTAGTTAATCAAATACAAGATTGATGATTCAAACTTCACACATATATTTAAGTGACTGGTTAATATCACTAGCTTTTATACAAAATATATGCAGGTGAGGGGAAGAAGTTGAAATGTGATAGTTTTCGTTATCAGTCTAAATCCAAAGTTTAGGAAATAAAAATTTCCCTGAAATGTTTATATTGTATTACAATACTGACTAGTAGAATAATATTACAATATTCTAACTAAAATGTGCAGATACTTCAAAGCATCTCTACAGAATACATAAAAATCAACAAAGTTTACTAATTTATCAACTAATCCTATTAACTTCGTTATCTTCAGTCGAACTTCAAAATCAAAAGAGAAAATGTAGTCTAAAACTATATGATACACACAACTCCTTAATCAATAGTCCTTTATAAAATTTCACTGTACAAATCTTAAATTATAATCTAATACAGACTTGAACTAGTCCCCAAGTAACGTAAGCGCTATCATTACGACTGTAGTGTTCATATACTACCACCAAATACAACCCAGCCACTTAATTCGAATTACGATGGTTTGATACTATAACTCAGTGGTTGAAAGTTTAATGGGTTTTAACCAACAAGGGAGTCAGTTAGTCTCAACTTGGAACCTAGAACATATGTACATTGGTCCAAGTAGTCACATCTCATTGGTGCAAAAAGATAAAATAGGCGAAATTCCATAATAGTAGAGGTAGTAATAGTATCAGTAATAATATAAAAGATTAAGCACTGAAAATATGATTCAAGAAAATATAAATTGATGAAATGAAAACAAAAAGGTATGAGGAATTCAGAAGCTTAGAATTCGAGGGTAGGCAAAGAATGAATGCACATGCTCCGTAGCAAACGATTTTGAGCCATGTAATTCAAAGTTTCCAACCATTGGTGGTGATAATCATGCGGACCCCAATCAATTAGTCTAAATGTATAAAAGTGCCTCAGTTCAATTCTCACTGGCTTCATGGACTGATGACATGTATATGTTTGTCCGCCTCCAACTTTCTTCCAGCCTACTGAAATAAGGCTATGATAATATAAATGTTTCTTAGTCATAACGAACGATAATCCTTTACAGAAAACACTTAAATTAGTAAGAACCTCCTATTTTAATTTAGTAAACCTAATCAAGAAAAATAACCTAAATTTAAATTATTGGTCAAAATTTAAGAAAAACAACCATTTAAAGACAATATCAGTTGACCTAACTAAAGATAGATATTCTAGATTTCAACTTATTAATCAATAAGGAAATGAAAAATCCACCTACTCTTTTGATTGCCCATTCTATGTATGAACATATATGTACATTACCATAATTATTACGGATATGTTTATGTGAGAAGATTTGACTTAGTAATATAAGACAGAGAACAAAATAACTAGTGATATAGTTGAACAATTAGCAATTGTAAATAAATTCGTCGTTCACTTCATAAAGGGAAAGAAATAATATGAAGAAGACATACTAGAGGTGATGATATATATATATATATATATAAGTATGGATTTGGGACCTGTAGAGTTAACCAAAAAAAGCATTTACGTATTAGTGAAAATCGATGGTAACCTACCACGTATTCATATCGCAAAAGTAACAAAAATTTTAAAATGTAGGACATGGGAATTTAACTAAATGATTGAGTGATGTCGTAGTGTTGTATTGGATCTTGTGTGGTGTGGTAGATTCACATTAAGACGAAACATTTCCCTACTGTTGTGAATACTTTCAATGGGTATGCATTTGATTTCAATTCATAATGAAAATTATCTACAAAAATTTATATCATTGTAAAGAGTCTGTAGAGAATAAAAAAGCCAGGTGACCTTTCTTAATATGAACTACAGTTATTCTGTTCTCAAGACTTTATGCATGGAAAATAAAACTATGTTTGTTTTTCTTTTAAAGTATTCTGCCAAACAATAGTTCACTAAACCTTTTTTAGTCCTCAAGTTTTTTTTTAAATTTGGAAAACTAATATGGATGAGCACTGCTGAAAAGTTTTATATTAAGATAAAACAGCTGCCTAGTGTTTCATAGCTCTTAATAATTGACTAACCGAGGTCAATTTACGATGTAAACCATAAATAGAGCAATTTGGAAAAACCTTCAATACTAAAGACACGAAATAAAATGACTAGCCGTAATGTAAGCTGGCAAATCATACAACAATGACCGGAAAGAAGACCCCGGAGTCATTACTAGTTATCTTCGTCTAAATACTAAAATCCTCTCAAATTTTTATTCTTTTCTTCACTCTGACTCACAAAATCTTTCTAGTTTAGTTTTTTTAATTCTTTATTGGTTGTCTTCATTTTCCTCTTACGCTAATTGTTAAAAGCTGAACTAACACACATTCTGTAACATTGTAAGCTAATATCCAACCTGTTCTTCTATGTATCATAAACAAACCAAATAAATGATAAGCTGAACCTGTGAAATGTTTTTTCAATACTGAACAAATTGCATGAACTAATATTTTAAAATTACTTATCTTCAGCAATTAATTCTGTGGTATATTTGGTTTGAGATGTTATCGTTTATTTTTATTGACAACATAACACACTATGGTATAGATCCGTTAATTTGAGACTTTTAGGCAATAAAAATCATCCAACTATTCACATGAATTGTCGGAAATTGGTTGAATTTAGATATTAACACCATCGGATCCCGGTTCAGAAGTCTGCGGATTAAGTGTTCACGAGAGATCAGAGGTTTTGGGTTTGAGTCCCGTTGATGCGCACTTTTATATACTAGAATGAAACGGCCATTCAGGGCACCGGGTTTTTAGTAGTGGTCTAACATTGGTCGGTTTGTGATCTCAATAAAAGCTATCCTCCTGTTAGTTAATAATAAAGAAACCTTCGTAAACAGTTCAAGGGGAAACTGAGTAATCTCCGAAAGTGTTTAGGTGGATTTCTCAGAAGAAAAAATGTTTATTGATAATTTGAAGTAATTTACCTTTCGAATATTATAAAAATCACGGTGTGATACACGCTTTTGTTCAATTGATTCCCGAGCCTCATTCAACAATGAATGCAACTGAAATTTTGAAGCCAAGTAAGTCAGTCGACGATAACAGAACGACTTCAAAGGACCATCTCCAACAAATGTACGTATTGTATCAAAATCTGAGAAGAATGTCTGTAGAGACGGTATAATGAATTCTGGTAGGTCTTTTTTCACAGGTTGATCAACGTCAACAGTTCCATCATGATTATGTTCTGATGTCCCATTTATTAAATTTACATGGCTTCTGTCTGGTGAATCAGACAATGTTTCGATGTGCATTATACCCTTGCGAAATTCCATTGTAACATCTAATGGTTCAGGCCAATAGTCTATCTCGAAAGGATCACCAGTTTTTTCAGGAGGATGAATTGGATGATCTAAAAGATAAGAATCAGCCAGAAGTGTTTAAAAAATAATCAGTTTTCAGTCTTCGTGGGACGAAATAAAAACAGGTAAATAAAAATAACTTATTTGTAGGATTCAGTCAACACAAAAGTGCATATACATATAAAGTCTACGATGCGCAAACAATAATTGTTATGTAGATAGACATGGAGAAAATGGTTGAATGGAAGTATTTGTCATATGAGTAATATATACACCTATAAAAAGAGGTAAACAGAAATATATAAATTTCAATGTTAAAAAGCAGACCGGGGTTTTTGTAGGGCAACATGCTTTTAAAAGTCTAGTAGTAAGAAGCTTAAATATTGGATACATTAAATACAATCAACAGTTTCGTAGCTGATATCAACGAAAAAAATATCAATAATATCTGGAGCATGAAATTCCCTTAAGATTACAGAGTTGACACAACATGTAGCCTTCTATAAGCAGATGATAAGTGACAATGTGTATTGCTATAGAACATAGATTTGTAATGATAAATTTTAGCATGGAAACTTTTCAAAATCACTTTTGCATAGTTGAAAGCAAGAGTCAATTGAAGCTAGACCACCAAGGAAAACCTGGAAGCACTGGACGGCCGTTTCGTCCTATTGTGGGACTCCTCAGCAGTGAGCATCCACGACCTCGCCTCGCCAGATTCAAACCCAGGTGGTCTAGCTTCAATTGACTAATGCTTTCAACCATGCAAATAATAAATCTCCACAAAACCCCTTCTGATTAAAATCACTTTTACCAAACAGTGATTAATTCAAAAGAGAGGATAATTTTAAAGAATATAAATATTTGATTTAAGAAAAACAGAGTCGGCAGCCGTTCGAGCTTTTTGAATCAACATCTAGATAGGGTTTGACTAATTTATACTAATAATAATGGTATTAATAACAATAATTATGTTATGGTTTGTTGATTTGTTTGCACCGATTAGTTCATACTTTACACTATTTTTATATTAAAATGGGAACAATAGTTTTGAATTCGTCTATTGCGTTTAAATAACCGGATAAAATCAGATTAGACATATAAGTTTCATAGTCTTTAAGAAATACACAAAAGATGATCGATAAAAAATGGGACACTCATCCCCATAAGATAAACACTCAACATGTACAACACCATAATTATAGAAACCACTAATGAAGTATCCAAAAAATTTTTGTAATGTGTATTTCTAAAAGTTATTTTTTTATTTTTAAATGAGAACCTGTAAACTCCCATATAATGATGGAACAAGCAATAAATAAGTACTGAAAACTCTTATATATCCACTTATAATTCATTTGTTTACTGATTCATGGGCGAAAAATTATGGTAAACCTTGATGTTTTGCATTCGACCCTTCAAATTAACCACAACCATTTAATCCCTAATTCTGAAAAGACTGACTGACACAACTACCGTATAGTTTGCATTAAGAACTGATTTTGATTAAACAGTTAATTAAAAACCATGAAGCATTAAACAGCTGTTTCATTCCAGTGTAGGACTCCTCAGCAGTATACACTCATGAACCTACTGGATCAAGAACCTTGAAGATCTCACGACGAGCATATCATCATTTAATAATCACTTAAAGAGTAAACAGATCATATCAATTTACTGGATAGATAAGATTGTTTTCCTTCCTGTTTACCAATATGCAGGTGATAATTTAGTACAAGACTTACTCTCCAAGACATACTGAAATAACGATAAATTTCAACGTGTTTGAAATCATCTAAACACGTCAAAAGTTGAGCCAAACAACTAAAAAACCATACAAGTTTTATTTATATTTACAATCATAAAGATCGTCAAAAAAATTCTATTTCTTAAAATTAACAGAAGTCCTGGTGAAGAACAAGGTTATGTTTTCAGAATTGAGGGTTTTTAGAGATCCACCATTAAGGGTTGCTTTGTCACAAGGCTAAGTACTGTAATCAATATATCATGAAATTAATTATTATCATCTAGTTGTCTCAATTTGCAATTATCTTACATTCGTAGCATGGTAGACATTTCTTTTAGAAACCCTGAATGAGACAATATACAGGGATTGATAACAAATTAGAAACCGACAAGATAGCTATCATTGTTAACTGGATCCTATCAGTTAAATTACAATGTGATAATGAGGTGAAATAAATCGGTATTGTGGTACGATTTGCCTTAAACAATTAGTATGAGACTCTAGATCTAAAGTCTGTATTAGCTAAGATTTGTCAGTAAACTAAGATGTACTTACAATCGCCAGAGAATTAATGCTTACCACTGGATACGAATGCAAGTCAAGCAACATTTTGAAATGATGAATAGCTATATGTCTCCAAAGGATTTGACATTGTGTTTTGAATAATGTGTACAGAGATGTATCAACTAACTCTCTTTAGTGAAATTAAAAACAGTACTTAAGGATTGAATAATATATAACTTATTACTTATTAATCAGAATAAATACAGCAAGAACTTTTAATGATAATGTTATATGATTAGTTTTATATCGAAAAGTAAAATAAATTTGAAATAAACACTTTTAATGCGTTCTTATCAAATAGAGCATCCATTATTCTACTTTATGTAATATTCATGTATGTTTTATAACTGAAATAGTATTCAGAACTTCGATAATGTAATAAGAAGACGAAGATTATCAGAACTATGTGATATATTAGTGCAATACATTTCGAACAATCTGATCACACATCATGTACTTGTTAAGAACATTTATATATATAAATTAATGGTCAACTAGACTGGAAATCGGGGGTAAGAATAGACAAGGATAATAATAATAAAAATAATGTGAAAATAATTTGAAACCTATATGTGAAAAAATTATATTTGAAATAGTCTCAGCGATTGAAATATATGAATAATTCCAACGTTTCGTCCAGCCAACTTGTCTGGACTTCTTCAGGGAAATAATCAAAATCATCAAAGAAGTATATAGTGTTTTTTTAAATATTTTTTATTTTTTTAACAATCATATCAAAATCACTACTACTTTTTAACCCAATCATATTTAGGTGTCGAATTTTTTGTAAACAGGATAATATGAGTCAGCTGAATGAGAATCAAGTGAAGAGTTCAACGATGTGAATTAAAGGAGACTGCATAAATTGTGTGTATGTATGCATGTGTAAGATGAGTTATTAATGAATGATATTCAGTGTTGATATGTTTCTATGTGAAGTAAAAGTAAGAATAAAAGTGCAAAAATGAAGGTTGAAAAGTTTTTTCTGAATCATCGAAATTGCAAATAAAATGAGAAAAAGAGAATTCAGCGAAGAAAATTTTCTTTTCGACGAAATCATTTACGTAAGCTGTACATTCGTATATATAGTAATATGGAAAATATATGTCTATAGGAGGCTAGAAAAGATTGCATTATAAATGGATTCGACGATAAATAACAAATGAGGTGACGTACTAATCAAGGGGTCAGGAAGAAAATAATTTATGGGTCAGATAATAGTTCAATTAACAGATATGAAGAAGAGGGACAAACACAAAGGTCATAATAATAATAATAATAATAACTGATTAGAGATTAAATGTAAAGTAGTAATTTAAAATACAAAAAACCGATAATAATCAGATAAAAGTACAAAAAACAAAAAACCAAAAAACGTACCCAATGAGGGAATTAGGGCCAAGGAAGGGTAAGAGGTTGGACAAATCGTTTCTGCACGCAAAGTTCAGGCTTGAATTCATGGATTGCCAATGCCTCAGCAGTGCATAAAATATTGATTCGACCTCCCTTTGATCCGGTTCCTTTAACTCTATAGATTATTTTAAAAGACGTCTCTTTTGGAGCAATGTGTCCGCAATTGATCAAGTGCTCTTGTATCGAACTGGTTATCTTCATACATTCACCTTTTAGGAGCCAAGCTGGATAGTGTTCAGAGATACGTTTGGAAAGCGATCGCTTTGTGCGGCCTATACAACGTGCTCCACATGAGCAAGTAAATTTATAAATACACATCGATGTGGCCCAAAGCGAAAGCTTATCCTTAACACACCCCCGAATGGTAGGCCGGCTAGAGAAAACGAGAATCATCAAGTACATAATTGTAATGCTAAACATAACTCATATTGATTTCAGTCATAATAACGAATCATGTGAAGTAAACAGGTTGAATAAAAGAAAAGGTCAAATTACTTGTTGATGAATATTTGCCAATTGGTAGCTAGCTGAATACCATCCTTTCTGTTTAGGCTGTTCTTATTCGCCCATATATACAGCGCTTCTGCTGTCAATCTTTCTTTATGAGTGTTGAAACCTTTCTGAAGTATTTTGGCCCCTTCAAAATTAATCATGTGTCCCGTTTCCAACGCATGTAACGCCATTGCAGACTTATCCTCAAGTTCCTTTAAGTCAACCGAAGTTTCTTTAGTGATTTTGACTTTGATTATTTCCCTGAAGAAGTCCAGACAAGTTAGCTGGACGAAACGATGGAATTATTTATATTTCAATCGCTGAGACTATTTCAAATATAATTTTTTTCACATATAATGAATTCTCTATACTCGGCGCCCAATTATTGTCAATCTATTCGTTCTAACCTAGACGAATATTCGTATAAACTTGAAACCTAATCACTCTGGATAATAAGCTAATACTACCGGGGTAGGTTTAAGTTGAGAACAATTTGTTTTTGAATACACAAAGGGGGTTTGAATTTTCGTATGTCTAAGGCTCCAGTCTAGTTGACCTTTTATTTTTATATATAAATGTTCTTAACAAGTACATGATGTGTGATTAGATTGTTCGAAATGTATTGCACTAATATATTACATAGTTCTGGTAATCTTCGTCTTCTTATTACATTATCGAAATTTATCAAAGGGACTAACTGCTTTAAATTTTTTAAAAGTATGTAGAACGTTATTTCGATAATAATGGGTATAGATAGTAAGATATTGAATGAAATCGACTATCTTGAGACAAATTTGCTCGCCAAATTTAATGATGAAATATTTACATAACTAATCATCAAAGTTCAAAGGATACAAATACTAAAATAACTAACTTAAATAATAGAAAAAAACAATATGGAAACCAGTGGAGTTCAAAACCACGTCTGTTGTGAGATAGAAACTCACTGAAGACAATTGGTGAATGGTCGCTCATAATTCGTGGATCAGTTGAAGTTAGACATTAACACCATTGGATGCCAGCTCAGTGGTCTATCGGTTAAGGGATTCGGCTCGAGACTGGTATGTCCTGGGTTCGGATCTCGCGAGAGCGGGTTCGAGGATACGTACTGCTGAGGAGTCCCATAGTAGGACGAAACGGCCGTCCGGCGTTTTCAGGTTTTTGATGGTGGTCTAGCTTCAATTGACTCATGATTTCAACTTTGATATATTGATATATATAGATATTTAGATTTTAATTTTGTCACAAGCATATTGATATATATATACATATAAACTTAACAAATGACAAAAATAATAAAGGGATCACGATAAAATTGTAGCTAGCGTACAAAATAACAAGCTCTGTAAAAATCCTAAATGATAATACATGTTTTGATACTATTTGGTGGTTCCGTTTTTTGAGCGGAAAGACATTCATGAGAAAAAAGAGGGATGGGGAGGGGTCGGCAACAAAAGCAAAGACATAACCAACTGGAGTTTACATGCCAAAATGCTTTCCAATAAATAGAAAAGAAAACAAACTAGATTGGACAAAATGGATTAATGGGATGCTTATCAATATCCTTAGTATATTACTGACAATATTAGTAGGGATTAAATGTTATCATTTGTGTGTAGTTAAAATTCAAGTCATTTCTTGTTCTACTTCTTCTGCTAACATTATCATTATAATTACTGTTATTGCTACTACTAAATTGAAAAAGGGTTGCATGCGAAATCTGAATGGAGCCGAGGGGGGTAGTGTACACAAATTAAATAACTAGTACCTTCGAGAGATGAGATTCTTCTACATGTTCGTATGTAGTGTATGGTACTATTAATATTACTGTAGCTGTAATTCATGGGGATGATATTTGTGTTGGTGATATTGTCGACTGTATTTGAGCCTTGAAAATGAATTAAAAATAGCGTTTTATTCGAAATATTACTTACAATACAAACATAGGGAAAATAGATAACAACAGTGTTACATTATGAATAAGATCTTTATTAGTCAAACAAAGAAAATAAAATCAGTGAAGATAGTGTTTTTTTGCCTAGGGCATACAAATATAAACAACAACAGTCATAATGGTTATGAGGTGAAAAAAACTAACTAAATACATGATTATATAATGTAAACTACGCTAGAGGTGGTCCATAAACTACTGACTTATGAATAGATAACAAATAACAACTTGTAAAATGAATATTTCACTGTAACTGTATCAGAGATCAATGTTGCCTGATATTTATAACGAATAATATACATCAATGGCGCATTAATCTTATGAAAAAGAAAAAAACTCTCAAAGAATAACAAGATGGACGACACCGAAACTAAAATACCAAAGGGTGGACAGTGGACCAGAAACTGAAAATATATTGAAAAAGGATACTGAAAATTAGAACTATTCGTGGAATGATTAATCTAATTCGATTCTCGAACATTTTTGATTTGTCCAAGTCCAATTTCAGGTGCTCTTGGAGGATTGCCCACTTTTCTGAAGATTTTCGCTATCAACTGATATTATTTGAAGAAACAGTAAAATGTTAAGATCACAAGCACGACTCTCTCAAGACTAGTACAACTTTACTTAAGTGGTTCGGAGATTTAAAAATGATGATTTTAAAACATTTTTAACCAATTCCAGTGGAACTTTGGCGGATTCTAAAGAGGGTTTCTTAACACAAATACCTTACACAAGAATAAATTCCTAAACAGCTATTAAAGTTAAAGTCTTTACCTACAAACATCAATTCTGAAAGAAACGACAGTTTATACATGAAGTCGTTAAGAAACTAAACTACTATTGAATAATAGGTTTCATTCATTTCTGATAAGAAAATTCATCAGGATACTGTTTCGATTTGTCAATAGGTAGATCTACTAACAGTACACTATAAAAGTTGACGTATTACACAATTTTATATCACAGTAGAAAATAAAGTGTAAAAAATCTGAAGAACTTGATACATAATGTGAAATATAATATGAAACTAGAAGTGATTCATTTGCAGTCAATAGTTACTACCAAAAAACTTGTGCACAAATTCACCAAATGAAAGAAGTAATATGTAACACTATTATTATTATTATTATTATTATTATTATTATTATTATTAGTAGTAGTAGTAGCAAGGCAATGTAAACATATGGAATAAATTAAAATAAACAACTCTTACCAAATACAGGGGTATGTATAGATTTGTATTGTTTCTCCTCGGAATCCAATGATTTTACTGAACCCGAATCCAGTACACTTAAATATCGTTTAGTTGTGCAATGAAATGATTGCTGTGATGACGTAATGTATTTTTGACGTAATAACAAGGCTTTGATCAATGCTTCTGAAGCTAAATGTAAATCATCTACAGGAACCTATAAGTATAAGATTTTTAAAAATGTGAATATAGATATAAACAGAAACAATTTTCGATAAACATTGGAAGGAAATTGTAATTATATGCGTACGTAAAAAGATATCATACAGTATAAATTAAGAAAACAATTCAATCAGATTTGAAGTCAGACAGCGACTAACTGATTAAATTGCATGATATTTCTGTTTTCACTAAACAGGAAAGAGTTAAGGTGGCAAAAGTTGGATTAGCATGAAACAGAAGCCCCAGAAATCCATTCAAATCATGTTTTATACATATGAATTCACAAGTTACTTGGTGATATAGCTCTATGCGAGTATAATATAACTCATTTACCAAATATAGATACAAGTACTCAATTTTGAACCAAAATTTAGTTATGTAGGCTGATAAAACTCCCAGGCTGCCCAAAACAAAATAGGTGGATTGAAGTGGCGTTTGAACTGAAATACTTATACTTGAATATGTATCAATGTAAGGATTTATTTGTTACTTAATTTTCGAGACAAGCAATCTTTTAAATGGAACTTACTAAACTTGTAGAAAATACTTGAATTGTAGAGGAAAAAACACTGTACATTGTCCATTATTGTCAAAAACCATAAAAATTTATACAACTTGCCACCATAAGTGTGACATAATTTTATGAGATTGTTAAATGTTAGCCAAAAAGAAAATAAAAATAACCCGTAACAAGTTGTAAAAATCTATGGAAAAAGACATCACAAAATCAAGTTACAATAATGAGTGGTAATGTGGGTGACATGTGTTAAGTAAATCACTTACTTTATATTTATTTACATTATATTTTGTGATAGAACAGAGAAAAGACATTGTATAATTTGTTTATACTAACGAAATAAAATCTAAGGGAAACCTATAGTTAGGACATTGATGGTCCCAATTAAAACTTCATCGCTTTCCAAATCATAGAATAATATACCTGGGATACTGATTATAAATGAATAAAGTTATTCAAAGCAGCCCAAATAGCATTTTGATCAGAGCTAAAACGACCGTCTATTGAATAGATGGTAAATGAGACTTATAATTGTAAGGAATAGGTAATGTGGTGTCACATAGATTCGTAGTTTACATGTTACAAAGTGATATATGCATCGTCAAGGTCAAATAAACGGAATTCAACTAGTGAATGTGAAACAAAAGTAACCATGCACCAAAACTCTCAAAAACTGTAAACCAGCCGAGGTAGTTAAGTTATATATATTAAGTTATAAGTTACCACAATATGTTAAGTACTAACATGTAGTATTATTTTTTTCAAAGTCACCGATTATCATGTCGAGTTCCATGAAAAATAGGGAATCTCAAGTTATTATATAATAATATTTGATTAAATATTCAACACATAGTTATTTATGATCTCTACTGACTCATTTCTTTTCAGTAAATGCTTTACTCAATTAGTTGATTTTCATTTTTGTGTTATTGAATAGCGTAGTAACGTGAGACGTTTACTCAAGTTTTATTTTCATTATTAATATATAATCCACTATGTCTATAAAAACCCGACTTATATCATGCACTTAACGGACAAGAAAAAGGATGGGAATAGGACAAAATAATGAGACATAGAGACTTAATTTTTATTTCCCTAAGTCTTGATCTAGCTTCAAAAATGATCATGAACTAATATGATGCATGTCAGATGAGCTGAGAATTACACACATGGCAAAGTGACAGCAATATATACATGAAATAACAACAAACATGCATAATTTTCATGTGACTACGTGTCTGATTGTGTAATTGGTTATCTAATCCAAAATATATTACTAGTCAGTGCTATAATCTCTTCAAAAGTGGCAAGAAACATTAAAATGGCCATCAAACTGTGAAGAACATGTACAAACAAACGAAGAGAACTGATCACAATTTAAATAATTTTTTGGTATAAAAATGAGCTTAATTCACAATGCTTTAGAATGATGAAAAGATTTGTGAAAACAAACAGGCTAGAAAAAATGGACTCTTTCAATTTACCAGCCGAATTCGTCTACATCAATTTATTTGTGATATGGGCAATAAATTAACCCTAACAGTCAGACCTTGATTCACTGGAGAGTGGGTAAACTATAGAAATGATATCCTTTAAACGCTTATGGCAACTAACTAAGCTTATTTTTGCTTAATCATTTGTATATAAACACGCTATTAGACAAAACGTCCTTCTGGCTGTTAGTTTTATCTGCTGTTGAATATCATTCCGTTCAGGGGTTTGAGTCAATAATCAGGTCTTGTGAGCTGCCACATAATACAATTCCATTTCATTTATCGATTGACACCCTATCCATTTGTTTTAACAATTCTAAACTTCGTCCATTTGTAGTGAACGTGAACACAAGTGGGGTCAATTGAATGTATCTGAACACAGAATTACAGAACATCATAGTAAAATTTGAGGACCATTCAGTAAATACTTCATTTGCAAAACGTCAATCAATCGTCTCAAACTTGACTGTTCCTTTTGCGAATATCAGTTAGTCGTCTCAGACTTCATTGTTCCTGCATTTCTATATCAATTGCTTTCTGTCCCCGTTATTTTCTCCTCCATCTTCTGCTGCCAGACATTCTATTCCTGACTAGCGTTACATACTACTTATGTCGACATAAGTAGCACACACCATACACCTACTAAAACTACTTGAATCTGAGAGTAATGTTTTAGTCTACCACACTTATTGGAAAATTTTCAGCAAGACTAGTCAAAAGGGAAACAGAGTTAGTAAGCGAAATGGCAAAGTTCAAGAAAGAATTTAACTGTGATAACAGTATCTATTTGTTGTTAGATAACTTCACAAAAAAGAACATATTCCTGAGTAAGCAAGAACATGCTATGATTAGAGTCGCATTATTTGTAATTACCGATAAAGTGTTAAACCCTTAGATCGCAGTTCTTTACATCCATAAATAATGAAACAGATTAACCAAGTACGTATTTTGACACTAATTTCGTTTCTGTACCTTGTATGAAGGATAGAAATTCCACAGGTAAAGGGTGAAAAACTGACGACTGACTGTGTGTTCAGAGTTTATAAAAGGATCAAAGACGATGTTACTATAAACGATTTTCAACTATGTCACCAAAAATCTATAACCATTTATTTTTCTCACTTTCGCAAATTACTTGTTTCACTTACAATTCAACAAGTTCTCGATCATAATTACATGATTCTGCAATTAAGTTGAACGATTTTATACACTAGAAGACGTCGCAATCAATTTATTCTGGTTATTATGCGAGAATAAATTACTACGGATACACTCCTATCCAGTTAACAACAGAAATTCAATCCAATACGATAAACTGATTCCGTGAAGCCTCCTTAAGAAGACAAAACAACCAGGGACAAAAATTCCAATAGCTTACAGTCTCAACAACCAATGGGGTTTTTTAAACTTTGATGTCTTAAAGAGTCGGGAAACTAGTCTCGGAAACAAAAACAAAATCATCTAACAGGATCAATGATTTCCACTGTGGTTGCTTTGGATACTGAATTGAAAATGTTCGAAAACGACATAACATAAACAGATAGTGATATCAGATATTTTGGCTATTGACGTGAATACATATGGTGAAGTCTCAGTAGTGTCAGTTGACAAGTGCGTTCATTCAACATATCTTAACGTGTAACGTAACACATTACAAATCGGCAATTTTCTGTGCATCTAATTACCCAAGGGCGATGGGAAGAAGCATGATTGTATTGTTATGTTTTTCGCTCAAAGAGAGCTGTCTGCTATCACAACCCACACACAAATCAAGTGAATCGTGTGGTGCATATTCATTCGATGCCCCTTTTGTACCAATATTTATGTGCTCAAATAATAATAATAATAATAATAATATCTGCTATATGAATGCACTCTATCCCTCCATAGTTCTTATATGAGCCCCCAAGGACCCTGGTACGGCCGGAATTGAGGAGTCCCCTCCTCCTTAAAAGGTGCCCTCATATTGCCCACTTCGTATGAGTGCTCGGAAAACTCATCGTCATAAACTGATTGATATAAGAGAGTCGACTGTAGCTCTTGTTGCAACCAAATATCAAATGGAGTTAGACTCAAGGCTAGTAGTCAGTCTGTCGTTTTTAACTCCACCAAACGTCCCTCTTATAAGCACTAGGCTTCTACTGGCCCCTTACAACTATTTAAGGTACCGAAGTCCACTTCACTTGGCCGCTTATCTGATGGCGAACACATATAGTAACTGTCAGAAGAAATTTGAACTGAATTGAGCCACTGGCGGTAAGCCTGGGTTTGAGCGAAATAATTTGTGAAGCCGATAAAATACCAATTAATAACAGTTAACGCCGTCTCGGACGACGGACAGAGTTCTTCGAAAAACAGTTCAATTAGTCTGGTGTGCAATGATAATCAAACTGTACAGACTGAACCTACATAGTTGCAAATCAGTGTCCGTAGGTATGGCCTGTAGCTCCTCTGGGGGTTACTGCCGGTCTCAAGCCCGGGTAAAGGAGGAGGGTTGGGCATGGGGTTAGCGACCCCATCCCGTAGAAAATCAACTCGCTAAAAAAACGCTAACCAGAAAAAATCATTCAAACCATTCAAACTCCGCCCTGGGAGTAGAAGGAATAATTATGACGTCTCATGATGAAAGCCGAGTTCCTTCGGAAGTCATGAGGCCGATGCACCTTCTTACAACCAGAGCAACAATTTTTATAGGTACATGGAATGTCCGAACAATGTGGGAGACCGGCAGAGTCTTACAAATTGCTACAGAAATGAGAAAATACAACCTGAAGGTTCTTGGAATCAGCGAAACACATTGGACGCAGGTTGGACAACAACGACTGTCTTCAGGAGAACTTCTGTTATACTCCGGTCATGAAGAAGAAAATGCCCAACATACACAAGGAGTGGCATTGATGCTGTCCAGAAAGGCACAAAATGCACTTATAGGATGGGAATCTCATGGACCAAGGATCATCAAAGCCTCCTTCAGAACAAAGAGAGGGCATTACAATGAACGTCATCCAATGCTATGCGCCTACCAATGACTACGATGAAGACGCTAAAGACCAATTCTACGATAGGCTGCAGTCGTTCGTCGAGAAGTGCCCAACCAAGGACCTGACAATTCTGATGGGAGATCTCAATGTCAAGGTTGGAAAGGACAACACTGGATATGAAGACGTCATGGGACAACATGGACTGGGAGAAAGGAACGAGAGATTTGCAAACCTATGTGCCTTCAATAAACTGGTCATAGGTGGCACCATATTCCCACACAAAAACATACACAAAGCCACTTGGATTTCACCGGATCACACTACACACAATCAAATCGACCATATCTGCGTCAACAAAAAGTTCAGGAGGACGATGGAGGATATGAGAACCAGAAGAGGAGCTGATATAGCATCCGATCACCACTTGCTGGTCGCCAAGATGAAACTAAAACTCAAGAAGCACTGGACAACGGTGCGGACAACATCACAAAAGTTTAACACAGCCTTTCTTCGAGATGCTGACAAACTCAACAAATTCAACATAGCCCTCAGCAACAGGTTCCAGGCCTTTCATGATCTACTCAATGGAGAGGGAACTACAATGGAGAGCAACTGGAAAGGTATCAAGGAGGCAATCGTTTCAACATGTCAGGAGGTTCTGGGTCAAAAGAAGCACCATCACAAGGAATGGATCACTGTTGGTACACTGGATAAGATTGAAGCAAGGAGGAACAAGAAGGCAGCAATCAATATAAGCCGAACAAGAACAGAAAAAGCCAAGGCACAAGCCGAATACACAGAGGCAAACAAGCAAGTGAAGAGGAGCATCAGAACCGACAAACGTAAATATGTTGAAGATTTAGCAATGACAGCGGAAAAGGCTGCAAGAGAGGGAAACATGAGACAACTGTATGATACAACAAAGAAACTTGCTGGAAATTACCGTCAACCAGAAAGACCAGTGAAAAACAAGGAAGGCAAAGTAATCAACGATATTGAAGAACAACGAAACAGGTGGGTAGAACACTTCAAGGAACTCTTGAATCGACCAGCTCCACTGAACCCACCCAACATCGAAGCAGCACCCACAGACCTCCCAATCGATATTGGCCCACCAACAATTGAAGAGATCAGCATGGCCATTAGACAAATCAAGAGCGGTAAAGCAGCGGGACCAGACAACATCCCGGCAGAGGCACTGAAAGCAAACGTAGCAGCAACTGCCAAGATACTACACATCCTCTTCAGTAATATTTGGGACGAAGAACAAGTACCAACAGATTGGAAAAAAGGACTTCTGATCAAGATACCAAAGAAAGGCGATCTTAGCAAATGCGACAACTACAGGGGCATCACTCTTCTCTCAATACCAGGAAAAGTCTTCAAAAGAGTATTGTTAAACAGGATGAAGGATTCCGTGGACGCCCAACTTCGAGATCAACAAGCTGGATTTCGTAAGGATAGATCGTGCACAGATCAAATCGCAACTCTACGTATCATTGTGGAACAATCAATCGAATGGAATTCATCACTCTACATCAACTTCATCGACTACGAGAAGGCATTTGATAGTGTGGACAGGACGACACTATGGAGGCTTCTTCGACACTACGGCGTGCCTGAGAAGATAGTAAATATCATACGGAACTCCTATGATGGACTAAACTGCCAAATCGTCCACGGAGGACAACTCACCGAGTCGTTTAAAGTAAAGACTGGTGTTAGGCAAGGTTGCTTACTCTCACCCTTTCTCTTTCTCCTGGTCATCGACTGGATTATGAAGACGTCGACATCTGGAGGAAATCACGGAATGCAGTGGACAGGCAGGATGCAGCTTGATGATTTAGACTTCGCGGATGATCTGGCTCTTCTATCACAAACGCAACAACAAATGCAGGAGAAAACGACCAGTGTAGCAACAGCCTCAGCAGCAGTAGGTCTCAATATAAACAAAGAGAAAAGCAAGACTCTTCGATACAATACAATATGCACCAATCAAATTACACTTGACGGAGAACGTTTGGAGGATGTGGAAACCTTTACATATCTGGGCAGCATCATTGATGAACACGGTGGATCAGATGCAGATGTGAGGGCGCGGATCGGCAAAGCAAGAGCAGCTGGTCGGCGGCCTATGCTCCATTGGGAGTAACAGGCGTATGTAAGTAAGTAAGTAAGGTATGACATGTACTTTACACCTAAACCGAAAGCACTTTTACAAGACTGAAACGAATCTATGTTTGGACCAGTCCTGATTTTAGTCTGGCTGTAAAAAGTTGGGTTTACAACACGTCGATGAGAGTAGTTCTGCTCCATGTTTCGGAAACCTGACTTTCCCATGTTGAGGATGTTCAGTGACTGTGTTTGATTATCATTTTTCTCCGAAAGATTGCTGATATGCAGTACCAATACTATAATAAAAATGCAGAGGTTTGACAACATCTGTTCTGGCTCAGTGACGATTATTTAATTGGTGTCCACACTGGAAATCTACCTTAGGTGGCATGGACATGTACCGATAATGTAGTCCGAGCGGTTTCTACATCCCGTTTTGTCTGCCAACTCCGGAATCGGTTATAAAAAGTGGTCAGTTTGTGGTACGGTGAAGTGTGATGAAACAAAGCTGTATAGGATTTGGATCTGTCAATCAACCATAACTGCCTGGTTAGGGTTCGATAGACAGTGCAACTCAGTGGCTCAATAAGTTATCAGGTATGGCTCAGAACAGAATCCAATGGAGATCGTGACATAACTTCTTTTTACTTTCTAAAAAAAAAGAAAGGGATTCCCTTAACTGAGAGGATCCTTCTTGATTGTGTTTTATATGAACTGTTCCCCCACATTATACACTACGCTTGTAAGCTTATTTTTATTCATTTCACTATCTTTTTGATCATAATGGCCTTTTTTGTTAGTTTTTTTCACAATTTTATCCAACTATTGATGTGGTGAATATTTATTTTGGTTCCTATCTGTATGAATATTTATGTGTTCGAATAAATTAATTAATTTAATTAATAAGATCTTTAGCTTTACTAAAAACAAACTTATTCCCATTTAAGATTAATATTTTGTTAGTAAGATGTGTTCATCAGCTTGAAAAAAATTACGGGAGACTTCTATTTTAATCAGCAGTTAGGGTCTGATATGGAAAAGAGTACTACAATCACATACTTATTTTAGTCACTCAGAGAAATCTATTTGACAAGTGCAAAACACTAACTGAGTATACTATTATTAGTGATATTCATGTGTAAAATATTATTATCGTGTAAACATGTTAAAATGAAAATAACTAGATGGATTGGTGCTACCTGTGATAGGGCGAAAATCCCAGCAGTATGTGGACGGATCGACGGAAGCTAATTTAGAATAGATGTGCAAAAAACTTAATGAAGGTTGGTTGGATTTTAGAATGCTTAATCTTTCTAAAAACGTAAGATTAAACAGAAAATTTATGAAACTAACCTATTAGGGAATAAATAAAATTCCACTAGATGAACCAATGCAAAATAGTTTCAATCCTATTATTTTCGTTGGTAAAACTTAAAAAACAATTTGTGAGTGGCTTGAAATATATTCGTAACACTCAAGTCTCAGTAACCAAATAGTGATAGTATTAGTCTAAACACAATGGATACAGTTCATGAAGTAAAACATACCCATACATAATGGTCGGTGTTAGTGGGATATAGATTGGATTAAGCATGTTTTATGCATGATGGTGTTACTGCGCACTGATTGGTTAATTCTAAACCGATCAGCCCGGACATATTATTGCAGAAAAATCTATAAGCTTCTTATGTATATACTATAAATATATGAACGTTATTTAAACTAGTGATTGCTGTTCACTTATTATTATTATTATTTGGAATACAATTTCATTCCTGTTCAACGTGTTCTCATTTTGGGTTCTTGTCGAGTGTCATCGTATAAGAATACTAAGCAATAGCAATAGCTGGGTCGTTTATATAGCAAAAATAAAATTATAACAGTGGCGACGGGGAAAAAGGAAAATTCATTCAAAATGCCTATATCAGATGACCAGCTCAGCCGAATACTACAACAACAGCAAGCACAACTTGATGCACAAATGCGGTTGTTGGAGACTCTGATGCAACAGTTTAGCATCCAAAACTCGAGTTCACATGCTGTTTCAAGTACTTCTTGTGATGCGATACTATAATTTTAAATAACCAAGCGTAAATTAGGGTTTGGTAGACTTACACCAAGAGTATCATCGCCGCAGATTTGGACACGTTGGAATTCCACAGCTGCTGACTCTAAATGTGCTTCAGCCCCTTCTTCTACTTCTTGGAGAACAGGAACCACATCTGTGAACACACCTGCATTTGGTGCAGGTGCTAAATATATTGGGAACCCATCGTTATTTGTACTAGGGATGCTGTATAATCTTCTGAATAAGGAACCTCCACAGTTCTGCTCATTTTGAAACTGAACATTGTTTTGAGTAAGCCTGGGTTGCATCCGATTACCAGATTCCAAAGAAAATGTATTCATGTCCGAAGTAACAGACTGGTTAGAGTGAAAATCTGGTTCATCAGAGGATGTTTCAGGGAGTACAAATGAAGAGTTTGAAGAATCTTTATTGAATATACTATTTTTGCTAGGTAACACAGACTCATTACCGTTCGTTATGCTTTCAACAGAATTACAGTTATCTGAACTAATAACTTTAGAAGTAGCTGAAGGATTCAAAATGATAAGATCATGATTTTCTTCGTTAACAGGAAGTTTAGAATCATTATCTGCCACACCTAATGCTCTGAAACAAAGATGTTTACGAGAAAAATCAGACACAACTTGTTACAGAGGGGATGAATATGTAGACTAGAGATAATAACTAGTGACCATAAAAACATACAAGAAATAAAAATCACCTCACTAGAAAACTCCATTATATTTCAGTTTGCACTCTAAAATTATGAAAGCGATCTTGTTTTAATGGAATACGCAAGCTACAGAGAAAATGACTCTGAAACATAGTAAAGTCCTAATTAGTCAATGGTATTCCTAAAACCAGTTAGAGAAGCGAATGAAATCTAAAAAGTGGGTAGGAGGAATGGAATATTTATTGATTCACTTAAACCAAATAAACATCATATATAAAGCGCTCAACAGATAGCTTCCACTGACTATCTTCTTCCATTGGATTCACGTGGAAAAGACCTGGAGCTATTACAAGATTTACAACTTGAGATCAAGGTCGAAAATTTAAGTATTTTCTAAAATAGTTAAAAACAATTTTTTTCAAAACTGAGACGTACCACAATGTAAGCCGTATTTTCATAGAGGTACATGTCATAGTTGTGAACAAAATCCGTACCACGCAATGTAAAAACAGGTAGAATATTACCCAACTCAGGCCCATTACCAAAATAAACACAAAAACTGGAGTTTTAAACAACGAGCCATTTCTCTAATCTCACCTCTAGCATTCTCCCAATTTACCATTACATAAACACCTAGTGACAGACAAACCTATTATGCGAACCAACATGACGGAAGCTAAGAGCTATGAATTTGAAGGGTTCGAAATGCATTTGAAAACCAATACAAAATCAAGGGAAACTTACATGCGAAGAAAATGGAAACAAACGACTAAGAGATCATATAATTTGCTTAGAGTAACAGGTGCATTTTGAGATAACTTCGCTACCACTAAACAGCCCAATATCCTTGTATTTTTTCCAACTACCACTTATTCAAACTTTTTCCATATATTTGAATAACAATGGAAATGAGTATTGACTTACCGGGCCAACTTTAATTCCAAGATATGGTCTTCCATCTCTTTCCTCTCAATCGGAAATTTCGGCATTACATATTCCGGCCCCGTTTCCTTGAAAAGAGGATACGCACCCTCCCGACCACGTTGCTTAATATTTTCAGTTATTTCGTTGATTTTATGATCCATTTGGGGACTGACCGATCGTGAACTGAAGTAGGACCCGTGAAGAAATAGAAATTAGTAATTAGTAATCATGAAACAAAGCGAGCCATTTTTACCGTACTACTTTACTGAAAATAGAAATGCATAAATGTTAATAACTTACGAAGTACAGATTTCTGTACCTAGTTTAGAGCTATATTATGTGACGGTTAGTGATATTAACTGATCTCTCAATCAACTACAACGTAGGACCAGGCACACATATGCATCGGTTCAAGTTTCCACACCTCACTAGCACAACAAGATGAACATCAAATTCATAGAACCAGTTACTTCACTGGTAGTAAAAAAAGATTTCATATAAGGATATGATACAGGGAGAAAGAATTAGTTCGTAGAAAGACAGACATAAAGCAATTTCATTCTCACAGTTTAAGGGAAGAAAAAGAGTGTACACACCTATGCCATTGTTATCGATTCCCATCTCTAATACAGGGGTGGGTGATCTAGGATTAGAAATGGCGACCTACTGGTTGGAAGTACAGTGAAAGTATATTAGGGTTAGTGAAAATTTTAATCCTATTGTAATTTCATTAGACAATGGATTGTTTGAACCAATTAACGTGAAAGAAAAACACGTAATGACATGCAATTATTTTTCCATAAATTCAATACTACAGTGTCACTTTGTGTTTGTACCGTTTGACGTTTCTAAGCCAATATATAGTGATTTTTTAAATCTGACCACAGCCCCGGTTAAATACAGTTCATTTCAATTGTATTACAGTATAATAAACTTAAAGGTCAAGTAGTCCTTGTTAGATGTTTCCTTGTTTATTTAAGCACAAAATCTGACGTAAAATGGTAATCAAAGAACTTTACTCAATGAGTAGATTTGGGTAAGGCTTTGTATTGATTGTGAGTTATTAACTTATTAGCGGTGCCAGTTTTATCCACGAGTCTTTGAATAAGACATTTGGAAAACAGTAGGGACTGAATCCAACTGAGCTACTGAGAATGATTTTCGGCCATGTCACTTGACGTCTCCAATTGAACTACTCTAAGTGAGGATTTATTTAAGCTCAAAAATAATAGAGACAGATTTAGGAATGTGTTCAATATTCAGCCACATTGAACACGAACGTTTTACCACTATTCCTACACTATACAGGCTGGAGTGGCCAAATTCATGACAAACATACTTGGTCTTTGCCTACTTCATAGAGGAATGCTGTTTAGATTGAAAGTAAATCTCCCGTGGCCAAAAAACACTAAGCCCATGAAGTCACCGTTCATTTGAGAAGCATGAAAATTTACAAACTTTGTGTTTGTCATCCATGAAACAGAAAATGAAAGCAGTTAAATAACTCAAATGACGATACTTACGTCGACTAAAACGGAATAATATTAGTCGCTTTTATCATAATGCATAAGTACTACTTTATTGTCTTATGCTACATTAGTCTGTGCCTGTTGTCTGTCATCATTTTAGTTTTTTTGAAAAATCCATGATATTTCTGACTAAAAGGACAAAGCCAAAAAATTATACCCACCAAATCTTAAACATTTATACTTACAATAGGTCAAATTTTGAAAAACAAGTCATATGCATGGAATATGACTCGATAGTGATACACTAAGCACTAACAGTATTATTTTTAAAGGGAACATCTTAGTACCAGCTATTTTGATAGAAATAGTGTTGTATTCACTAGTATTTAGGCTTTCAGTTTTTTTTCTTGAAACAATTACACAGTACAGACTCTTAGATACGCTGACTTTTGAGATGCTTGAAGTCAACCGCTGTAACTAGGTGTCTCAGAATAGTCTACTGAAGTGAAGTCATACAACGATTTGGAGCTGGAGAAAGTAAATGACCGTCAATTTAGTGATGCCGTGTTTCTTACTACGCTTGTTAACAGAAACCTATAGTAAGAATGGACAGAATTCATAAAACACTTGAAATCGAACACCGTATTTCTAATGAAATTGAGTAGTTTGACACTCGATTAGCGGAAAGTATACACCACTTACTCCAAGTAAATTAGAATGAATTCAAAAACGTACCTCAAGGACATTTCTAGAATGTAAAACCACTTGGATATTACGCGCCATAAAACTGAGAAAAAGCAATTAAGTGGAGATTTTAAAGCTTGAAAGAGTCACTGTCACTTAGAAGGGAAATCGAGGAAACCACCTACTAAAGAAGTTGATTTCTGGAAAACTTTTTCAAGACATCCTCAAATATAATGCATATATTACAAATTGCAAAGATATAGAGACTCACTGAATATTTTACTCCCTATTAGGTCTACAAACGGACCTGAAGTAAAAATAATCCCTATCAATATACACATAACCTTTGGAGGTAAACCTCACTGAATGCGTCCATGATTATGATCATGCGCTACCAAGAATAACCAAGTTGTAACACGTTCGAAATCTAACACTATCAGTCTCTTGTTTCGACTATTATATTTTTCCTAATCTCACGTTAATGTTATATCTGAATGTCGCCAATTGCGTGCGTAATTGGATTTAAGCACACAATAGTGCATTCTGTGCGCTTACTGAGTCTTCAGCTTAATTACATACTTAAACCAACACTCTCAGAACAAAAGGTATTTTGAGACAACACGCTAACCCACTAAATGCTGAACGTTAAAACATACCAAACCAAAATACGCGGATAAGCGGACTCCTTAAGCCACAGCCTTGAGAAAATGAGTAATAATAGGAAGAATAAACAATTTGAACTTGAGAAAATCATGTAAAACTTGGCCTTCACAAAGTTAGTATCTGTTCAAAATAAATGAGGCCTCAAAAGCTTTTGACAGATCCATTTCTTAATCTCTCATTAGGACTTGGAGTATTAGATTTATCCAAGATTTCCACCTGAATGATCTGTCTTCAAACCCGTTTTCCTGCATCGTTTCCAAGGTAGAAAATGGTCTACACAAAATATAGATGTTTCGAAGTGGGATTCTGAGTGTTTTGTGTGAGATGGCAATCATTTATTGTTGTACTTACACGGCCTGAGGGGAAAACTAGAGACTTGGTAACATTTGGGTGACTTTGGATTGTTCAAATGGTTCAAATGGTTGAGGACGGAATAAAAGAAGCTTTCACTTAACAGGCTTCCGTGTCTGGTAGCAGTGGATCACCAATACCTCCAGGTAAGAACCTAGGTATATGAACGATATTAGAGGGAAAAAAGAATTTGGTAAATCATAATAATATGTTATCCTTAGTTCTTAAGAATAAGTCAAGTTTCCACTTAGAGGACTCCTGGGAGGTCGCTTGGACTAGCTCAGTCGGCAGCGAATTCCAGCACTTGACAACTCTAACGGAGTAGAAGTTGTGTCTGCAGTCTGTTCTGCTATGTTGGGTCTCCAATTTCTGGGTGTTACCTCTCAGGTTAGTGTTGATGATGCAACGGATATTCCAGTTTTACAACTAGATACCAATAGCACCTACTAAATTCGATTGTTCCCAGTCAGATAGAAATCAGAAGTCAGACGAGAAGAGGCAGGAAAGATATATTTGATTCGTTACCAATATATCGAGGACCTTTTCTATGAGCTGGCTGATGAAACGTAGGAGCTGTGTCCCACACCGAGTCGAAACGTGATCTGGTGCGGATGCATGACCGAAAGCCTTCAGCTAAACAAGTCCACTTAAACACGTGGTCAGCATCCAATGTCGAACACTTAATGAACTATTGATTTTGGGGAATTATTTACAGCTACAGATCACTCCCCCCCTAGTGAGGTAGTGATGCCCCTAAGACGTGACCAGCCAGAAGTTTAAACCCAACGAGTTTGTCGTTGGTAAACACTCTTCTGATAGCTTGCTTCGTTTAGCAGCATCTGGTCGTCTTTCCTTAAACTATGGGACCAAAATGTACAACATAGCAATAAAGAAATATAGTACAATGAAAATTTCGGTTTCTTGCGAAACTTCGTCGTTCTTTTCCAGCCGTCCTGGAAAAGAGGAAAAATAAAACGTGTGAGTGCATGTCGAAAATACACTCGTACTTGCGTAAGGACACAAGATGAGCGGAAAAAATAAACTGATACACTTACAAACAGCGTAAAAGCGATTGGAAAAAAAATGGTTTGTTTTTGGGTTTTTGTTATATATATAAAAAGTATATATATACGCTCAAAAAAAAGATAAAAATGTTTTGTTTTTTTTGGTTTTTTATATAAATAAAAAATTATCATATTAAAATTTTTTTTAGAATGAACTATGGAAGGGTAATTCAAGATAAAGCTTATGTCCTACGTGCAATATTCGTTAAGATGTTCTGGAAATCTGACTCGTCTTCCAGAACGCGTTGTTTTAGGTTTTTCTATCGACGTTGACGAAGTATCAAGTTGTGTGTCGGTTGTCGTGTGGGGTACTACGAGTGTAGTAGCTGTGTCGTTTGCTTGTACCGAAGGAAAATCGACGTAGCTAGGGTTTCCTTCTAGGTACGCAGCTTTGAGTCGATCGATACTGATGCTATCTTTCGTACCGTTCTTATCAACTACATAGTACTTAGGTTCGCGTTGAAGAACTTTGAAGGGTCCTTCGTATGCTGATTCGAGGGATCGTCGATGTGAGTCTCGACGAACGAAGACGTGTGTACTATGTCGTAATTCGGGTTGAACGAAAACATCAGTTGATTGAGGTCGAGTGTGAGCAGGTTTAACTGAACGCATAGCGTTTGTAAGCCTACTCGTGTAAGAGTTTAGATCCATATTCAATGAAGAAGCTGAAGGATCCACGAATTCTCCTGGGAGTCGGAGTGTCGTTCCGTAAACGAGTTGAGATGCCGTGTATCCAATGTCAGCTTTCACTGCACTGCGGATACCTAGCAAGACGAGTGGAAGAGCGTCTGTCCACTGTGAAACGTTTGAAGCTGATAATGAAGCTTTAAATTGTCGATGAAAACGTTCTACCAACCCGTTTGCTTGTGGGTGGTAGGCGGTCGTTCGGAAGCGCGTGATTCCTAAAAGTGTGGTCAGACAACGGAAAAGTCCAGATTCGAACTGGCGTCCGCGGTCTGTAGTGATGGTTGAAGGGCAGCCGAAATGTGCTACCCATCGTTCAACGAAAGCGCGGGCCACGGTTTCAGCAGTAATGTCCTTAATCGGTACTGCTTCTGGCCATCGAGTAAAACGGTCTACGCATGTTAGAAGATATGAGTATCCGTTCGAGTCGGGTAAGGGTCCTACCAAATCTAGATGGACGTGGTCGAAACGAGCGTCAGGGGTTTTGAAAGAACCTAAGGGACATTTGTTGTGTCTGATTACCTTAGATTTCTGACAGCTTACACAGGAGCGTGCCCACTCCCTCACGTCTTTATTCATGCCAGGCCAACAAAAGCGTTCGGCTATAAGTTCGATTGTTGCACGAGCACCTGGATGAGAAAGATTGTGCAACGTATTGAAGACGTTGCGGCGATAATGTTTTGGTACAATTGGACGATCCCTACCTGTAGATGTGTGATAGAGTAAGGTTTCCTTACCTGCTCCCATCTGCCTAATACTTAGTTTAAGAGTTGTCGAGGATAACGCATGCTGAAGATCAATGTCTTCTTTTTGAAGCTGAGCGAGTTTAAGAAGGTCGATTCCTTGGAAACTGTTCAAGGAACTTATTCGAGACAAGGCGTCTGCGACTACATTGTTTGTTCCAGAAATGTGTTGTATGTCTGAAGTAAACTGCGAAATGTAGTCGAGTTGTCGAGACTCTTGCGGTGAGTACTTGTCTGAAGATGAATTTAAAGAGAAGGTAAGAGGTTTGTGATCCGTAAAAAGCGTGAATTCTCTTCCTTCGATGGAATGTTGAAAATGCCGTACAGCACAATACATAGCTAGGAGTTCCCTACCGAACGTGCTGTACCTAGATTCCGCGTCTAGCAACCGTCTCGAGAAAAATCCTAAAGGTTGCCACGAGTTGTTAACCCATTGTTGTAAGACTACTCCGAATGCTGAGTCAGATGCGTCTACGGCGATACTAATGGGCGCTTGAGTGTCCTGATGAGCAAGCAAGGTTGCTTTAGCGATGTGTTCCTTAACTGTGGAAAATGCTTTACGGGCTATGTCGTCTAAACTAATTGATTTCGCATTTCCACGAAGCTGATCGGTTAACGGTTTCATTAGGGATGCGCATTTAGGTATGAACCGTCTATAGAAACTTACGAGTCCGTTAAAAGTTCGTAAGTGCTTGATCGTGGTCGGTTCTGGGTAATCCAGAATGGCCGCCACTTTGCTCCTAAGGGGTCGGATGCCTTGGACATCAATGGTGTGTCCTAGGAAGTCTAAGGAGTTTGTTCCGATTTGGCATTTCTCTATGTTAACAGTAATGCCATGCCTTTGGAGTCGATCGAAAACAATGTCCAGATGCTTGAGATGCGATTCTCTGTCCGGACTTGCTATTAGACAGTCATCAACATACGCATGTACGAAGTTGAGACCTCGGAAAACGTCGTCTATAAACCTTTGGAAGGTTTGAGCCGCGTTTCTTAAACCAAAAGGCATTCGTAGAAATTCGTAAAGACCGAAGGGAGTGATGATGGCGGTTTTAGGAATGTCGTCAGGTGCCATCGGAATTTGGTTATAAGCTTTAACCAAGTCGATTTTCGAAAAGACAGTTGTACCTTTCAAGGTAGCTGTCAAATCGTGAATATGAGGCAGCGGGTAACGATCGGGAATGGTTTTAGCATTCAGACGCCGATAATCACCAGTTGGCCGCCAATCATTGCTGTCCTTTTTAGGGACCATGTGCAATGGGGATGCCCATGGACTATTCGATGGTCGAATTATCCCTAGGTCCATCATGCGGTCGAATTCGTTTTTAGCTAACCTAAGCTTCTCGGGAGCGAGTCTTCGAGCTTTCGAAAATACAGGTGGTCCTGTAGTCGAGATGTGATGTGTAACATTGCTGGTTACACAAGGCAATTTCGATTGCGATTGGTATATCCCGGGGTATTTGTCGAGTACTGATTGGTACAAGGGGTCTATGGTGTGCTTAATCGTGACTGGGGATAACCTGCAACCAGAACAAGGAGATACGCTAACAGATAACTTAGTGTTTCCGTCTATTAACTTTCGTGAGCGTGTGTCGATGTGCAGATTGTGGTGTTGTAACAGGTCTATACCAATGATTGGCATAGAGACATCTGCAACCACGAAAATCCAGTGTATGGGTTTGCGTAAACCCACGTTAAGGTAGACGTACCTTTTACCGTAAGTAGCGATCGGCTTTCCGTTTGCCGCCTGTAAACTTAAAACAGACTAGCGAAGTCTGTCGTCGGGATTTGCTGGAAGAACGCTAACTTCTGCGCCAGTGTCGACGAGGTAGCGAACTTTCGTAGTCACATCCGTGACGTATAACAGACGGCTGTGTTCGCCGGCTACGGTTGCCGTTAACGCGTGCCGGCTGGGAAGTTTCCCGAAATCTTATTCGTGTCAGTCGATTTTGAAGTCGGATAATTGCAAGGTTTCCTGCAATTTCTAGAAAACTTACCGTACTGGTTATGATACCAGCACCAGTCGGGATTGTCTGTCTCTCGTGGTCGAGAGCCAGATCGCTTACGTGAGGCGCTTCTACGCGGGGTTTTTGACCGACTACGGTCATTGCGAACTCTAAGATATCGTGTAGGCGTGTGACATAGTTCGGCCATGTCAGTCGAGGTCGATTGTGGTTTTTCCTTGACGGAAAAAACCTCGGCCTTAGAAGATCTAGTGATTTCCAAGATTCGATCGGCAGATGCAG